ACCAAACTAGTGTAAAAATAGCAACAATAAAAAAAATTTAAAAAAAAAAAAATTAAAATGACATGACTAGATATCAAAATACTTTCTTTTAGATGCCCATTACCAGAAAACAAAGAAACAATAACCAAGTCATTTGAAATTTAAAAAAAAAACACACACACACACATACATGCCTACCAATTCAACATAGCAGGGTTACATAAAACATCAATGAATTGTTCAACATAGCAGGGTTACATAATACATCAATGAATTGTTCAAATATTGTTCAAAGGCAATTTCTTACCCCCTGTTACTCAGCAAAAATGGAAGTTACAGGCAGTAAGAATGAGTCAATAGATTACATAATTTTTTTAACACCTGATGCCAAATTGAGTTGTTAAACTAACCCACATTGCTTCGGTTGTTACCTGAGCACCTTCTCTCTCACAATGTTATGATTTCGACTCATTCTGACCCAAACATTTGTTAGCTACTGAAAAATTGTTCTCATTCAGAAAGTTTAGCAGTATCTGTCTGGTAATGAAAGAGTTAACGTTGCTCAAGTAGTAATTTATCATGTTTAGATACTTATGATAACATTTTGAATACCTAATGTTATTTGAATTAAACAATAATTCACAGGCAACTATTTGTACTCATTTCCTTATCTTAGGGTAAGGGGATAAGGGAATGCAACCTAAAAACTTCATGTTATGGCAGGGAAGATGAGATTCTTAGCCTCGGTTGGCAGCTGATCTAGGAGTGAAGTTCCAGCGGGTGAGCACACAGAATATTGCTCTTTTGATTCAGCAGATTCTGCAGCATCTTTTGTTGCAGACAATCAGTATTATCTATCCCAGGGAGCTAACAAAGCAGACTGAGAATGGGCAACACACAGTCTCTACAACACTGCCCAAGCTTTGTACAAGGGGGAGGAGGAGGAACTTCATCCCTGACCTTGTCTGGTATTAACCATGCTTTTTACAAGGGGGAGGAGGAACTTTATTCCTGACACTGTCTGGTATTAACCATGCTTTTTACAAGGGGGAGGAGGAACTTCATCCCTGACCCTGTCTGGTATTAACCATGCTTTTTACAAGGGGGAGGAGGAACTTCATCCCTGACCCTGTTTGGTATAACCCTTGCTTTTTACAAGGGGGAGGAGGAACTTCATCCCTGACCCTGTCTGGTATTAACCATGCCCGTTTTTTTTTTTTTTTTTTTTTGTTTTTTGGTCTGGATATTTATAATATGCATACTGTTATAAGAACATAATAGGCTTTATTGATAGAATACAACTGCTGTGTGAAAGACGGGTGTTTGGAAGGGTCAAATGTAAGACGGGCCTGCGTGCCCAGTTTGTGATCCTTTGAAAATAAAGTTTGTTCGTTCATTCATCACGAGCTGCTATTCCCTTGCCTTCCTGTAGTACAATGGAACACTAATGTCAGGAAAGACGGACAATGGCAACATTTGTATACATTCAGTTTAAGTAGGGCATTTTTTTTTTTCCTCTGGAAAAAAGTGCCAGTACTCACTCATAATCAGCTGTGAGTGGTGTCTTGCGTTTGTCTCAATAGAAGTACCGAGAGCTGACTGTTCAGAAAGCAGTGGCAAACTACTGAACGTAAAATTTGCCAAGAAAAACCCACAACATTCTGCGATGTCCTGTGAAGGATACACAACTAACGAACTCTCCACACAGTGTGTAATAAAAGGTGCCGGTATGCACCACAAAGTGTTATTAAAGTAGTGCTGAGGAAAAAATATGCCAAAAAAGGTGTCTGTAGTGTGTACTGTCGCTTACCATTAAAAAAAAAAAAAAAACTTAAGTATTGCAATTATTTACAAGTATTTCTTTTGCAGAAAAGTGTAGATACATTTTTTTGGCATACCCTGTATAATGATTCAACATTCAGGCTACATTTTTTGGCATACCCTGTATAATGATTCACCATTCAGGCTCTTAAAGCTGAAACACACCCAAAATGCACTCTTTGTTTCTGGGATGTAAACTCATTTGTAATTCTAGGATGAGGCCGTTATGCTCAAGACAAGATCCAACTGTTCTACACCGCCTTAAAATGTGGTACAAACAGGCAATGAAGATGGTATAGACTGTCTATGATTACCTGTACAAGCCACAAGAGACAAAATATTAGATGTAAAAGTGTTTGAGAAAGAATGCATTTCTGTGTGAATGATGACCAGTTAGAAATTTCATTCTTATCTTTAAACTGGAAACCACAACCTGACATGAATACAATGCATTTCTGTGGGAATGATGACCCATTAGAAACTTCATTCTAATCTTTGAACTGAATACCACAACATGACATGAAAATCTCTAGCATAAAAACAATTTTTTTTCCCCAAAACTCTTCATCTTCCGATGCTAGGATAAATTTTTTTTTAAAGTGGAAGGACACTTTACGAAGAAAAAAAAAGGTGCTTGGTTGACTAGAATGATAATGTATCTCAAATGGCTAGTGTAACATGAAACTAACCAAGATACATACAAGTTAGTTAAAACGGATACTGTGAATAGTAGCGTCACCCATTTTGTGATAGGCCAAATCGCTTATGGGAATGACTCAAGTGCTGTGATATCGGTTCTTGAATCAACTCAACTAAACTGAAGTCTAGACACTTGCTATCAGCTGAAAGTCTTAAATTTGAATTAACTATGTGCAACTACTGATCTGTTTTAACTGCTGCTTCCATTGACGAGGAACTATTGCTAGTGGTGGACTATTTGTGTTAGCACTTCCAATAGCTGCCTTCTGCATGCTATTACTGATACTGTAGTCTGTGTCAACTGTTTCACAGGGTCAGTGATGAACATTCTGTGTGTGGTTTTCTTCAGCACAGAAACTGAACTACTATACCGGTGACCTAGTTTGCATGGAAGTTGGAATTGCTGTTGCTTATACCTGAATCTGAATCTGCACCACAGCAATTTTTCTTGTAAAAATGACACGGGCTCCCAAGTTAACCCAGCCTAAAATAGGTACTATGACATTTATTGGGAAGTAAAGGCAGTCAGGATGATGATGATGATGATGATGATCACATAACGCTTCGAGTGCTGATTGGTCTTTACAAATCTCTGTCTAGCATTGTATGCTTAATGTTCCTATAGCCTGATTCGGGTCAATTAATTTTAAATGTTCGCATGTTAAAAAATTATATAGTTTAGCAGCCATTTGATATTTAATTACAACAAACCCATTTTCAGAGCAAGAAACCACAAATCACAAAAACACTGAAGAAAACTGTGACAAATACAGCAAGAATGAGTTCGCTTATACATAATAAAAAAAATGGAAGCTGAAAATATTACACCGAGCGTACGTTTCACAAGAGCTTCTCAATAAATCACAAACAGCATATTTTATACACACATGCAATATTAAAAATTATACATGGAAATTTTCTGAAACATTTCAACAGTTTGTCTGACATTTAATTTTGAAAATGTTACAGCAGTTTGTTTGATTCTTGGGACACTTCTTGGTTTTAGGTTTTCAAATATCCTGTAATGGAGTTCTAAACAAGAGAAGACAGCATTTAGCACCATCTTAGTCATCATCATCATCAAGTACCATGCCAATAAGCATTGGCTGTCCTACAATCCCCAGAATCATGGATCAAGTCAGTTTTCCTGTCTCGCCTCAGCATTGTAGCTAAGTCATCCATGTATTCATCTCTTTGCCTTACTCTTTTTCCATCAATCTTGTCAGTAGTTACAAAGTTCTCAACTCCAGTCCCCCTGACAGCTTGTCCAGAAAACACTGTTTAAGTCTAATTTCTCTATTCAGTTTTATGGTTTTATCTGTCTCACTCAAGGAGAACTGTCTTGTCTGTAATTCTATTATTCCACAATATTATTTGCAGTCTTTTCAAAAACCACATCTCTGCTGTGTTTTTATGTTTTCCAACTTGTCTGCTTATGTTTCATCTTAGCAATTTTTTTAATTATCTCGGCTGTCTATAACCTATGCTTGTAATAAATAATTCTCACGAAAACATCTTAATTGTCAAAATTGTCCAGCATCTCAGTTTCGTCTCATCAGATAAACAGATCAGATCTAGAACATCTTATGCTGTAGTTTCATGAGCATGTTTCTTTTCTGAATTTATTGTTTCAAGTAGGAAGTTATCCCAAAGAATATTTTTTTTATGCTAGGTTCAAATATCTTTATTTACAGTATTGTATTTTATAAAAAATAAAACTGGTTTTTTTTTTTCTTCCTTTTCTTCTATTGGGCTTGCCCCTGATAGGGTGGTTTACAGCTAGAATTTGATATCTTCTATTGGTCCAAGTCATCCAAATTCACCACATCTTTAATTAGTCAACTTCTAGACTATAGTCTTGGAACTAACACAGGGAATAGATCTGTTGCTATTTTAAGCTTTCTAGTATAAGACATGAAACCACAAAGCAGAAAAAGAGAACCGCACAGTATCAGGCAAAACAACCAATCCAACCAGTAAACAGGAATTACAGGGTCAAAGGTTTAAACTCAGAAAAACGTACGTTTTCACAAATTCACCATACATCAAAGCAATTCAATTTTAAACATCTATGACGATTTTCGGGCCAAAAGTTAAACACGCAAAACATGTATTCAAACATTCAACATGTGTCAAAGCAATTCAATATTGACTGTCTGCAAAGACTTTGGGGTTAAATGTCAGACGTGGAAAACCTGTGATCAAACATTCAACAATTATCGAAGTGATTCAATATTGGATGTCTACAAAAATGTAAAGGTTAAATTTTAAATACGGAAAATCACATCTGTACTGGAAAAAAATCACCACGATGTAAAGCAATTCAATAATGAATGATTGTAAAGACAATCAAACAGCAAACTGCTGCACAGAAATGTAAATATGATGTGCCAGATTAGGCATAAAATATTAATCATCGGCATATAAATTTTTTAAAAAAGAAAACAGAAAAAAAAAAAAAAAAATAAATGCTCCTAAATCTGATGGTACCATGCTCAACACTATTTGTTCTTGATCTCTGCTCTAACTCGTTTTGTGAAGCGTCCGCAGGTCAGTCCCACAATAAAAATGATGCCAATGACGGTGAATAGAATCGCAAAGAAATAGTTTCGAGCTGGTGATGCTGACATCTGGTCTAATATCTCTGAAAAACTTTCAGCTGGCGCCACCTGAAAATTCAAATTTGACATCAGTTAAGTGAAACAATCATTTAAATTCAGTCATCAATCCTCAGGTTCAAAAGGCGTTCCCCCCCTCCACTCGCCCCAACCCACCGCCCCCCACACACAAATATACACTGCTGTAAAAGTGGTAAATATGGATTACCGATTTACGCCAGAGCGGATACCAAGCATCGGAACATCTACATTATCAGGACTTACATGGATATACTGTCTAGTACATGCAGGAGTGCGAATGAAAGAAAGAGCAGATTTGTTGTTGTTGTGTGTGGCTACACAAGCGATAGCTATAGGGACACCTGTGCTGAACAAAGAAGATATTCTGAATACCATTTATGAATGAATGCTAACAGAAGACTTCAGACAGATGAAATAACATGTGTAGGAATTTGTGAGGGAGTCACAGCGGCCGAGTGGCTAGACACTCGCCACGGATTGGAAGGTCGTGGGTTCGCTCCCTGGCGGAACCGGACTTTTTTCAAAAATGACCTTGGCCCCTAGGTCGAACCCAGCCTTGAGTGGGTACCTGATGCAGTCCTGGGAAGTAGAGGCGGCCGACGTGATGCTGACCACATCTCCCATCTTGTGCCGATTGGTCTATAAAATATATAGGTCTAGCCCTATATGCCTAATGGCGTGGAAAAGGGTCCTTTACTTTACTTACTTGTAGGAATGTGTGAATATGGAATTAGGATAGATCTGGCAGAGAGGAACGTATGAGAGGAAGAGAATGGCGAGTGTATAATCAGCGTGCTATGGGGACTGTTAGCATCTACATCTAAGGACATTTGCTGAGATGGGTGTGCCCAGTGTGCCATGGTGTTGATTCTTAAAGGCACTGTTCATTTTAAAGATCATCTTTATCACACATCACACAAGCCCACAACTGCTCTAATCTGCTCATGAGTATGTCTCCAAGTGCTTTTCAGGCTTACAACTCCCATTCTGTTATGGCTGATGTAACGACACCGGCTCTCGCGTGCATAGTTTTCCTGTCTCGCAGCTCCAGTTGGTACACCCAGGGTATGCAGTCTATTCAGGGAAAAATCCTTTTCCACAAAACTGAAAGCCTCAAAACATTTAGTCTCCCGTGTGGCTTTCATGATGTCTCTCCTGTCCATAGATGGCCCATTCCTTATAGTCACAATGCCAGCCAGAGCGTCTGCTCTCTCATTGACTTTCACACCAGCAAACACTCGGACAAAAATGAATTTGATTTTATGAAGCACTTCCTGCTGTATCAGATATATCATAAAAGCAGTAAAGACTTAAATGCAGGAGCTGTCACAGCGAAGTGGCTAGATATTCATCTGAGCAACTGAAGGTATTGGGTTTGAAGCTGGTAACTGATCGATTAGTTTGTTCACTCCGGGAGGCTATCAAAAAGGTTTACCGTAGCATCCTGAGAATTTTTTTAAAAATCTCACTGTGGACGGCAAACCAGCAGGGCACATATCAAATACCCCATTCAACCTCTAAAAAGTTATAATTCAGCCACCCGCAATGCTTACATCAGCCAGGTGTAACCCACCCTCTGGTGCAGCTACGGAAGGTCCGAAACTGCACCAAGGTCTAATTTTATAACTGACCGAGGGTTCCCAGGCTGATTAAGCCTAAAATAGATACCACAAATTGTCCTGTGGAAAGAAAAAGGTCTTTTTTTAAAGCAATGACGATGTCAAGATTTTCTCTTAGCCTTCGGTAATCCATCACAGTATGAGTCACCCTATCTTGTTGGGTGGTGTCAAAGGAACTGCAGTTGTTGAATTCTTTTTGGGGGGGGGCTTAGCTTTCCAGTTATCTTTTTCTTTCTTTGTGTTCACCAGATGTCAACTCCTGCAGAAAGTTCTGGTTGTTCGTCCATCTCCAGGCTCTAGTCATGGTCCAGAACCTGAGTGTTTGCATGCACATCCATTTTACAGGTCTGACTAATTTTTATACAGACTGTTGGTTCCTTGCCTCTCAGGCAGATGCACTCCGACTTCGAAGGAAGCTTCCTAATTAGTCAACTCTTTCAACAAGCTTGTTGGGGAGGCAGTTTTCCCCACTTGTTTTCCCCAACTACGGGCTCCGGAACCCACACTAGGACTTTCCAGTTATATTCTGCACTTCATTTTCACCAGAGTAGAGGTCCTAGTAGATGAGGTCTCTCATAAAGTGTGCTGAATTCAATAGCCTAGCTTTCAGAATTCTAATTTTACCCTCTATCTAAATCCTTTTTTTTTTTTTACAGTTGACAATATGTAACTGATTTAAGTTTGTTTTATACTTCTTCTTCTGCGTCCATCTGAAGATGTAATTGCGTTGTGTTCGTTCACAGCAGGGCTGTGATATTTGCACCTTACAGCCAACACATCCAACTTCTGCAGGCATTTGTCGACCAGGTTAGTCTTCCCGGTTTTCGTTTTATACTGTATAATCCATTCCTTATTTTTTGCATATCCAGTTAAGTCTGACATTTGTAAACAATTTATTCTCTCAAAGATCTCAGATGTTCTGAATCTTCACTCAAAAAAAACTTTAAATTTAAAAAAAAGAAATTTTAAACAGATGCTGACCTGGGCTGCAGATTCCCACAATTCTTTCCTGCTCTGAAGCATATTTTTACATTTCTTTGTGAAAGTATTTGGGTTATGCTCAAGGGAAGTCAGCAAGCATGCCATTTCTGAAAGTAGCAAACAAAAGATAACATAGCAAAACGTTTAGAAATATTCTAAAAACCCTGAGGCAAACATATATTCTGAAAACCCTGAGGCAAACATATGTTCTGAAAACCCTGAAGCAAACATATTTTCTGAAAACCCTGGGGCAAACTATGTTTTGAAAAGCTTGAGGCAAACATATGTTTTGAAAACTCTGAGGCAAACATATGTTTTGAAAACTTTGAGGCAAACATAGTTCTGAAAACCCTGGGGCAAACATATGTTTTGAAAACCCTGAGGCAAACATATATTTTGAAAACCTTGATGCAAACATGTTTCGAAAAAGATTATATAATGTTCCATATAGTTATACATTGGGATATACTGGCATATTATGCTATCCCCATCCTGTTACACACGAATGGCACTCGGTAGGTCTTCTTCTTCTTCTTCACTTCCTCTTTTACCGCTGTCGGTGTCGAGGGAGATTTAAGGTTCTGTTTCTAGCTCTTCTGGCTGCCTCGACCATAAGCACATCGTGCTGTTGTAGAGTTTCTCTGATGTTATCCTTCCATCTTGTTCTTGGTCTACCCCGTGCTCTACGTCCTTCTTCTCTTCCCATGTATGCTTTGTATGGTATGGTGTCATAAGGCATTCTCTCTAAGTGGGCAAACCATTTCACTTGCTGTCTTTGTATGTAATCCAGAATTGGTTCTGTGCCGACTTGTTCTCTTATGATCTCATTTCTGATCTTATCTCTTATGGTCACTCCTACAGCCCTTCTCAGACATCTCATTTCCGTGGTTACTAATTTTCTTTTATGGTTTGTTGTGAGTGACCATGTCTGGCACTGGTAGCACAGAGTTGGAATAAATATGCTTTGAATAAGATGTCTCTTTGTGCTGACTGGGATTGTCTTATGCTGTAAGAGGGGGGCTAGCTGTCCCAATACTTGGTTTGCTTTACTGCATCTAATGCCAATTTCTTTATCCAATTTCCCATCTTCGGTAAATGTAGTTCCCAGATATTTAAACTCAGATGCCCGTTTAATGCCTTTGTATTCTATTGTTATGTTTAGATCTGTCTTCTTTTTTCCTATTGACATTACTTCTGTCTTTTCAGTGTTGATTTTCATATTATTGGTTTTTTACTCGGTAGGTGATGCCATTAATATAGTATTTCCTAGAATATGTTAGGCTGGGGGAGCAACAGTAATGTAGTAAATTGTGAAGAGGAATACAGCAAAAGGCATTACTCCACATCCATCTCCAGGCAGATGGACATAGGGGTGCAGGCTGGAGCTGCAAGAAAGAAGAATTTTACCAAGGGCACAAGACATCTGATTAATTAGCTAGGAACAGGCATTATCAGTCCTTTTTTCGTTTATGGTGCTACTGAAGAGGTGATCGGAGCATCTATGGTTCTGTCCGAAGTGGTCTGATAATACTCCTCACAAATCACACTTGTCTCGGGTGCTGAAACTGGTGGCTTGAATTAGACATCTCACCTGACAAGTGTATTTTTGTCTTCTTCGTGTTCACCAGCTGTAAACTCTGACGAAAAGTTGTGATTGTTTGTCCACATCTGGACTGCAGTCTTGTTCCAGAACTTGACTGTTGCATGTGCATTTGTTTTACAGATCTGACTTATTTGTATGCAGACTGTTGGTTGCTTGCCTCTTAGGCAGATGCAGTCTGACTTTGAAGGGAGCTCCCAATTAGTCGACTCTTACTACATGCTTTTGGGGAGGCAGTGGGTCTGTTCTTGTTTTCCCTATAACTGGGCCTCGGAACCCACACAGTGATGTATATTTGTGATATTAAAATTCTTAAACAAAAACAAATATCCAAAGTGAGTTAGTATCTAATTTATTTAGCTAGAGAGCCATGGCATCAAAGTAGTTAGATACTCCCCTGCTAGCTGGAAGATCATAGATTAAAATCCTCACTGAGTCATATTTGTTTCACTGCTAAATTGATCTTTGCTTCCTGAACCCTGAACTTGCGAACGTAATCACGGAACTAAAGTCACAGCTCCAGAAACAGAAAACCATCGCTGCTGCTGAGAAGGCAGAAACGCACGAACTTATCTCCCTGTTGCTAGGAGAAATAAAAAACCTGAAAGCCGACAGGATAGCGTTTACTGCACAGCTAAGCGAAAACCAGAAAGAAGCCACAGCAACCAAAGATAGCGTCAGCAATTTAATTGCAAGTTTGGCAGCGGCCCAGATAGCAGACGAAAGACGCAGACAGGAGGAGAGGGAGGAGAGAAGCAGAGAGATGGCAGTGCTGAAAGAGGCTAGAGAAGAAGCATACAGAGAGGTCACCCGACTTGTGCAGGCTAAAGCAGAGGCAGTCGCGGCTGAGATGGCTACCAGAACAGAGCGCGACCTGTTACAGAAGTAAAGGACTGCAGTCAGCATAGCAACAAAGAACCTAAGTGTTAGCAGGGCTGACAAAAGCACCCACACAGACAAATCAATGCAGAAGGCGGATAAAGGCACAATCACTGAAGCAAAAACAGTAAAAGATCAGGCGCAGCTGACTGAACCCGTCAAAGGTACAGACCAGGACACAGAAGCCCATAGTGGGGAGCACAGCCCCAAAGCGCTGAGGACCCTCCTCGAGGCCACCCAAGAAGAAAGACGCCAACTGGACAAAAAGATGGAAGCAGACAAAGTCATACAAGCACAACTGGCAGAGGCATGGGCCCGAGTAGAACCTTACAAGATAGAGGAGATCGACGAAGAAACGGGAAACACCTACTGGAGATTTAAAACGCCCACAACAAACGAGCAGGCCCACTGGCAAACACCCCAAGGCAAGCGAGGCAGACGAAAGAACTCCCAATACCAAAGAAGACACAGTGAAAACCAGTCACCAATGAAAAACTGCCCAAGCCGCCATGACAGCTGACCAAGCCCGCCCACCAGCCCGGAGAAACCTCACAGCCCACAACCAGACGACACGATGTCCACCGCCAAAGCCACTCCCACCTCATCCGATCTAGGCCGCAGCAGCAAACCGCAGGCGTAATATGATCGCTGCACAGAAACGTCAATAACTGGAAAACGAATTCCAGACACTAAAACACCGACCTCGATATAACCACTGCTCAATCTAGGAGCGGGTTGAAAGAGGCACAAAGTTTTTTGTTTTTTTTTCCAACATCAAGATCAAGATCAAGATCTTTGCTTCCAAGTTGACCCAGCCTAAAATGGGCATCAGGTAATATCCAGGATGGTGAAGGCAACCAGTGTGGTGCCTACCACATCCCCTGCAGAGTGCCAGTTGGCCTACAAAAATATGCACTAAGAGCCACTGTGGTACAAAGGTACCTTTACTTAACTTACTTATATTTTAGGCTGAGTCATCATCATCATTGCGGCGTCCGTGGCTAAGGCGTTGTGAGTCCGACTCGTAATCCAATGTACCGCGATCGAAACCCATCGCCGGCTGCGTGGATTTTTATCGTGGTATGGGACGTCGCAGGTCGACCCAGCCTCAAATGGGTACCAGGATGGGCTGTCCTGGGAAAGTAAAGACAGTCGGCGTAATGCTGACCACATTACCCACCGAGTGCTAATGGTCTGTAAAAATATGGGCACTCTTCCCATATGCCCGATACACCTAAAGGCGTGAAAGTGATCTTTACTTTACTTTTTTACATCATCATCATCATGTAGCAGGTCCTTTGCAGAACGTTGCTCTCATCATGGCCTGCCTGAAAGAAACTCAGTCTCTCGCTATATTCTCCCGGACTCTTCTTTGTCCAAGATATTCTGAAAATCTTTCTATAGCATTTTGGCTCAAAAGCCCCTATTCTCTTTCTTAAGGACTGAGAGATAGTCCACGACTCAAATCCGTATGTAGCCACAGGGAAGATGCATGCTCTCAGAATGGTGCTTAGCCATAGACTTTTAAGGCTGTTCAATCTTTGCATTGCTATAGCCATCCTCATTTTAATTAATGTGTGTGTGTAAGAGAGAGAGAGAGAGAGAGAGAGAGAGAGAGAGAGAGAGAGAGAGAGAGAGAGAGAGAGAGAGAGAGAGAGAGAGAGAGAGAGAGAGAGAAAGAGAGAGAGAGATATTTTTGCTGTTGTTTTTTTGTGTTTTGTTTTGTTGTTATATACAAACATGAGAGTTTTAGCAATTACTCACGTCTGCCTTGACCAGAAACAATATGCATGCAGTGTGCCACCAGATCCTGCTGGCAGGCAGTGTGTAGCAGTGGGTCCATGTGGACATCTATTGTACTCTCTGCCACAACATACGCCACCTCCTGGGATAGAGATCATATAAAATGTCTGAAATCATTGGAGTCCACAGAGAATACATAAAATATATTTCTACCTTTACTAAGTAGAACTATTAGCAGCAGCAGGGGGGTCTCCATGGCGAAGTGGTCAAGCCGTTTTCCTTGCGATCTGAAGGTTGTGGGTTCATTTTACGGCCGCACCCTTCAGTTCATGAGTGCAATTTTTACAGAGATCCCTGGGGATCGTTGCTGGAAATACGGAGTTCCTGCTCTGCGCGGTGCTCTCGACAGGCGGCTAGCTGTTTCTGTGAGAGAGACCGAGCCATATGGGATAAATCCCGGTGCAATAAAGTTGATCCTCTCGACTTTATTAACCTTTTAACTTTTTTATTAGCAGCAGCAGCAATAGTGGTAGCAGACATTACTCCAACTCATAATATCCGAGATATTTGATACTTAAAGTAACATCTGTCTGGGTCTCAACAGGATAACAAAAAAATAACACTAAAGGACATAAGTAAATACTGGGACAGAATGTACTGGCTTTACAGTCAGCATCTGTGGCTTTGTAATGCCAGGGTGCTTAGTTCGATCCCAGCTGCGCGCCTTGCGTTGGATTCGACTGTGGTATCGAGAAGACGACCATCCAGAAAGCAATGGCAAAATCCTGAACTTAAATTTGCCTAGAAAAACCACAACAGCCAAAAAATGCTGGGGTTGGTTCTGCAAAGTTCTGTAAAGGATATGCAACTAACTTTAACTTGCTTTCCGAAGAGTTAAAAATGTTACAAAAATCATAACTTGTAGTGCGTAACCAGTGAACTCAGAGTGAGCTGCATACTAATGAAAGAAAAACTGTTGCAATCTTTAGACAGAGAACTTTCAATCTTTGGACCAAGATTTTATATAAAATGTCTTTAAATTAAAGGGTTTCAGACAGGCATCAATTGAACTCATTACATATTAAATATGTTACTTAAAGTAACACAAATCTGGGTCTTAACGAGTTTTACAAAAATCACACGTAGACTGATCACATCACCCATCTTGTACTGTTTGATTTATAAAAAATATAGGTCTAGCCCTATATGCCTACAGGAGGAAAAAGGTTCCCTTTTTTTTTCAAACTTACTTACACTATAGGACATAATTAGCTAAAGTTAATACAGTGGTACCTCACTTTACATCCTTAATCTATTCAAGATCCTTGGACGTATACCAAACAGTATGTACTAAATTATTTTCCCATACAGAATACAAGGACAACAATCAATCCATTTCCATATAAAAAATCCTATTGTTACAGGCATATTACACATTGACAGAGTTGTATAATATAATTTAAACACTGCATAATACTAAAATGAAATTAGATGAAATAAATGAAAATTTAACCTCACGTGACCTTGCTGAGAAGAGTCGACTGCCTACTAGGATAGAGTTAACAAAGACGGAGGAGGAGATGTTACTGTTTAGAAGGAGAGCTCCCTTCCACTAAAACTTCAAGAATCTAAAATTCAGGTGTGTTTTTCTTTAATTTCTTTTCTGTCTCTTATTATTACTTGAAATGAGTTGAGTCAAGAATTGACATCACAGCAATCAGGGCATTCCCATGTGTGCTCGGTCCTCAACTTCAGCAGCCAGTGCAGAGTTCCAATACTGATGGTACTGGTTCTTTTCCTTACTTGGATTTGGTTAATTCTCACAGGGTCTAGCTTGCGAGTTGCATTTCAAACAAAAGTCGTATACCAAACAAACATCTCTGTACACTTGTATGTCTTAAAACAGTGGAATCCCGCTACAGAAATAACATACATATGTCTTAAAACAGTGGAATCCTCCTACAGAAATAACATACAATCTGTCTTAAAACAGTGGAATCCTGCTACAGAAATCCTACTACGGAAATAACATACAGTATGTCTTAAAAACAGTGGAAATCCTGCTACAGAAATAACATACAATCTGTCTTAAAACAGTGGAATCCTACTACAGAAAAAACATACATATGTCTTAAAACAGTGGAATCCTCCTACAGAAATAACATACAATCTGTCTTAAAACAGTGGAATCCTGCTACAGAAATAACATACATATGTCTTAAAACAGTGGAATCCTGCTACAGAAATAACATACATATGTCTTAAAGCAGTGGAATCCTGCTACAGAAATAACATACATATGTCTTAAAACAGTGGAATCCTGCTACAGAAATAACATACAATCTGTCTTAAAACAGTGGAATCCTGCTACAGAAATAACATACAGTATGTCTTAAAACAGTGGAATCCTACTACAGAAATAACATACAATCTGTCTTAAAACAGTGGAATCCTACTACAGAAATAACATACAGTATGTCTTAAAACAGTGAAATCCTGCTACAGAAATAACATACAATCTGTCTTAAAACAGTGGAATCCTACTACAGAAATAACATACAGTATGTCTTAAAACAGTGGAATCCTGCTAAGGAAATAACATACAATATGTCTTAAAACAGTGTAATCCTACTACAGAAATAACATACAGTATGTCTTAAAACAGTGGAATCCTGCTACAGAAATAACATACAATCTGTCTTAAAACAGTGGAATCCTACTACAGAAAAAACATACATATGTCTTAAAACAGTGGAATCCTGCTAAGGAAATAACATACAATATGTCTTAAAACAGTGTAATCCTACTACAGAAATAACATACAGTATGTCTTAAAACAGTGGAATCCTGCTACAGAAATAACATACATATGTCTTAAAGCAGTGGAATCCTGCTACAGAAATAACATACATATGTCTTAAAACAGTGGAATCCTGCTACAGAAATAACATACAATCTGTCTTAAAACAGTGGAATCCTGCTACAGAAATAACATACAGTATGTCTTAAAACAGTGGAATCCTACTACAGAAATAACATACAATCTGTCTTAAAACAGTGGAATCCTACTACAGAAATAACATACAGTATGTCTTAAAACAGTGAAATCCTGCTACAGAAATAACATACAATCTGTCTTAAAACAGTGGAATCCTACTACAGAAATAACATACAGTATGTCTTAAAACAGTGGAATCCTGCTAAGGAAATAACACAAGGAAAAAACATACAATATGTCTTAAAACAGTGTAATCCTACTACAGAAATAACATACAGTATGTCTTAAAACAGTGCAATCCTGCTACAGAAATAACATACAATCTGTCTTAAAACAGTGGAATCCTACTACAGAAAAAACATACATATGTCTTAAAACAGTGGAATCCTGCTAAGGAAATAACATACAATATGTCTTAAAACAGTGTAATCCTACTACAGAAATAACATACAGTATGTCTTAAAACAGTGGAATCCTGCTACAGAAATAACATACAATCTGTCTTAAAACAGTGGAATCCTACTACAGAAATAACATACAGTATGTCTTAAAACAGTGGAATCCTGCTAAGGAAATAACATACAATATGTCTTAAAACAGTGGAATCCTTCTACAGAAGTAACATACAATATGTCTTAAAACTGTGGAATCCTAGAAGAGAGAAAACATAAAATATGTCCCCCACCCACCCTTATGCCATATGTTCATCAGTATGTACCATGACTATGAATAATAATTATTAAAAAATACAATTTGAATGTAAGAGAAGCCTTGCTTTACACTCAATAAGAAGCACCCTTTTACCTCTTTACATTTTGGGTCCTTCAGGTTTTTGAAGTGACTCTTCAGGCATTCAGTAATGGTTCCGCTCCCAAAAGCACCAAAATCTTCATCGTCATCGTTTTCATCTGTTTTTAGGTTGGCAATTTTGTCCGCACAAAACTCTTTGATCTGGGGATATGAGAAAGAGATAAGTTGAATGCAAGAAAATGTAACTCTAGAGAACTTCCCTAAATGAACACATGACCCATTGTGATAAGCCACTGACAATGGAAAATATAGTGGTAGCTGAGGGTATGAACTTCATTGACTCCACTTGTGAAGCAAAATGTTTGTGATCCGAAAAAGTTTTTCCCCACTGAAATTATTGCAAATCCAATTAATCTGTTCGCCCAATCCAAAAAAATATTTAAAAAAAAAAAAAAAAAAAAAATCTTTTGGGGATTTATGTGTAGCAAAAATAAATAATATAAATGATACAGTATAACTTAATCTTTGTCTCTGCCAGCTGCTGGCACCGGCAGGTGGTAGAGGAGGAAGAGAAAGGAGACTACTCCTTTGAAGGATACTCATATTCCATAATAATGTCTGGCAACTGTGTAGGTATTTCTGGGGCCACTCCCCCGCTCTTGTTTGTATCTTGGGAAGCGGTTCGACAGCTGGCTCTGTAGTCAATTTAGATATTTCTTTCTTTTATATTTAATACGCTAGGGCTTCTTTGTCGGCGTCTGTGTATTAGGCATTGCAAACGAGATTCGTAATGCAGGGGTGCTGGTTCGATCCCAGCTGCGGGCCATGCACCTTGCATTGGTTTCTACAGTGATATCAAGAAGCCGACCGTTGAGAAAGCAATGGCAAACTACTGGACATAAATTTGCCTAGAAAAACCACAACTGCCCAAAACTGCTGGGATTGGTTCTGCAACGTCCTGTAAAGGATACGCAACTAACTTTAGGCTTCTTTACATCACTGTTACTAACACTTTTCATTTAGTGAGAGCCCTAAAAAAAGAGGGTCTGGCTAGCTCATTACACTCAGAGAAAAGGCAAGATGGACATATAACCAGATAACAACCGGTACCATTAGTACTGGAACTCTGCGCTGGCTGCTGAAGATAAGGACAGAGTGCGCATGGGAATGCCCTTAGTGCTGTGATGTCAATTCTTGACTCAATTCCACTCAACTTAGGAGCCATATTGAGGGTTACTTTAATGGAGAGAAAAAAAAAACAGCGTGAAAACCTGATTACAACTGATGCTATTCACCATTTTTATGAATATTTACACCTGTGTAATGTTGCGCAAGTCTAAAATTCCTTGGCAGTTCAAAATAAAAAAAAGAGTAGCCTAACGGTCCTGCCCTAGCAAAACTTGGAGTAAAAAAAATCAACCCAAAGTATTTTAGGATCCTTGCTGGTGCTACAGAGTTTGTGCACTATGCAGAGATTGTTCGGACTCAGGCTTGAGTCAGAAGTAGAACGGAGCACTTATGCATTACTACCCTTGTGCCATGATGTTGATCCATTGTCTAAACCTAAACTAAACCTTGTATGCCAAGGCAATGTTGGCAGATCAAGTCAAAACTTGTTCACAGATTGTGTTCATGGGCCAATTTGTTCGTGATCAGAAGTACCACAATATGTTAAAGACATGTGGCAGCTCCGGAGGAGTTATTTAACATGCGTTAGTTAGTCAGTTTACAGATCATCCTTACTGCCTCATGTTGGTTCTTGGGCCTCATTTTGAGGGGAAAAGAATAGACACATTGCCCTCTAACAAACATGTCGTAAATGTTGGCTTATTGGGGAGTATCCTTCAATGTCAGAGTATGTCTATCAGAGAGGGGAGAGGCCAACAGTCTGCATTCAAATAAGCCAGATCTGTAAAATGGATGTGCACATAAAACTCAAGTTCTAGAACAAAACCAAAGTCCAGAAGTGGATGAACTACCAGAACTTTTCTACTGGAGTTTGCAGCCAGTGAAGGTGGAGAAGAATATCCTCAATACATATCAAACCATTTCAGTCCATTAGTGAATCCTGGACAATCGGTAGGCAGGCCAAACAATTTCTAGAGGCCTCGGAGATGTGGTTTTACAGAAGAATGCTTAGAATACCTTGGACAGCCAAAAAGAGCAACCAAGAGGTTTTGAAAGAGGCGGGAGCCCAAAGACAACTTATCACAGACATCAGAAGGAGACAGTCATCATTTTTCGGCCATGTTATGAGAAGAGGGAAAATAGAACATGTTGTGACCACTGGAAAAATATGTGGAAGGAGAGATAGAGGAAGACAACGAGAGAAGATGCTTGACAGACTTGTTGCATGGCATGGAGGTGTGTCGGCACACGAACTGATACATGCTGCAGGAAATCGCAAATTATGGAGAGGCATTATCGCCCACGCCAGTCGGCAAGGCAACTGATGATGAGTGTGCGGGATCCCCTCCACAGTAAACCCCACAGCGTGTAGTTGCTGACATCTTTTCAGTGTTGATATCATCTTCTTTGGCTTCCTGCATGGTGCTCTCGTCTGACTTCCCTCCTTATAAATTGCTTTTCTCACAATCTGCGCATGGTTTCAGATTCATTCATCATTTGATTCTCATTGTTACAACTAACAAGAACTATTTTAGACTTAATATATGACCAACAGTGCAAAGCAAAACTGGAAGAAAACTGGCAAGATAATAAAAGCCCAACTGGTTTAGAATAACATAATGAAGCATTGATCAAAATCAATAACCAAAAGTTCTTCATTTTTACTTCTGGCTCAATCATTTTTGGACTGATGAACTGAAAGATTGACTGACTTAACCTAATGTCTGATTGAAAATACTGATATAAACTGATTGAAAATGTAATAGAAAAAAAATCTCTCTTTAATCATACTTGAAGACTGATCATGAAAAAAGAAGAAGAGATTCCAGCTGCTGACAATCTGGCAGCAGAACTTTTGCATTGATTTTGACAATGGCATTGAAAGCTGACCATTCAGTAAGAAACGGCAAACTACTGCAGGTAAAATTATCCAGTAAAATCCAAACAGCCAAAAAATGAAGGGGCTTTTTAAGTTCGGATACCCAAACCACTGACAAACTCCATACAAAGCGAACCGCTTCTAAAATGGCTGCAGCTAACTTAAAGCCCTTGTATATTGTGATTGTAAAACTGAATTCATAACCTCAGAGTAACAGGTACCAACATGATCCACTCATCACAAAAGAGGCACTTACATCACTTTTGCATGTTTTCAACAGGAGAGGATTCAGGCTGATGTCCATAGCCGCTTCTTTGATCAAGAACTGAACCTCCCGGCTACATTCTTCTGTCAGTTCCTACAGGAAAAGGGTTAACAGCATTAGCTTTACTATCTGGACAACCATACAACATTAACTCTTTCAGACCTGCATTTATTACCCATGTGATTGCTATACACTTCTTAAGGATGGCCTTACAGAAGACTGGGACTACAACTGTCCCAGTATACAGCAACAATGACAAACAACACTTAGGGACTCGATGATAAATGAACTATAACACAAGTCTCTGCACACTACATTTTAACGGCTGTTCTAGGCTGCATCGTCTGTTGCCTTTCACTATCAGTTGCCTAGGTTGTAATGAAGAGATGTATTCTCTGCAATATTTTCTCCATTATCTCTATTCTTCTGAATTTCCCCTCCTTGTAACATGGTCTACAGGGTCCTGTTCCCAGGAATCCATCTTAACTTATGTCTCACCTGCACACATCTTTATATTGTAGTTAAGGCCAACCTAAGCCTGTTCTACCACTCTAATTTACCATCACAGATATTAACATGGCAGCCAAAGTTTTTTTTATTTCAGTCCACCTAGTGGATATTTGAACCTGAGATCTTTGGGCTGGTGGGCAGATATCTAGCCACTACACCAGTGCTATTCAACTGGTGGCCAGCCAATTCCTGCCCACTAAAACCTAGAAAGTCACCCACAGATCTTGCCAATTCATCAATCATTATCATCATGTAGCAGATCCTGTGCAGAAAGTCATTCTCATCATGAGCCTCTTGAAAGAAACTCGGTCTCTCTCCAGCTCTCCCGCATCATGCATTTTCATTTTCAAGGAGTCACTTATATCCTGTGCCCATCTTCGGGTTGTTCAGACACAGCCCTTTCTTCCTGGTGTCTTGCCTTCTGCTAATCGGTTTTTCCAATCCACCACGGCGCTCGATATGACCAATATATTTCAGCTTCCAAGACATGATGTTGTTGATTAGCCAATCTTCCTTGATGTTCAGATCTGTTGAAATGTCAGTATTTCTCATTGCCAGTTATACTGTATTAATGATTTTGCTCGAGTCTCTAGCCTGTGACGATTCCCCATGTTCAACAATTCGGCTCCTGGGAGAATTTACCTGAACAGCCCTGCACTAGGCTTTCGTAGCTCCCTAACAACTGCATCATCATCAGGTGCCTTGCCAGTTGGTGTAGGCGTTCACGCATCTCCACAGATCTCGGTCTTTGGTGTTCTGGATCAATTACACTGATGACATTCCTCCATGCCACTGTCCTAAGCAATCCCCCATCAGTTCTCTTGGTCTGCCCCTGCCTCTTCTACCAGAGATCCTTCCAGTCATCACAATAATTTCCAGTGCTCTTTTTCTCATCACATGACCAAAGAACTTTCTTTGACTCCTTCTCATTGTTGTATATAATGTTCTACTTTCATTAGCCATTTCCAGGCAATCATCTAGTTATAGATCTGCCATCAACTGCCATAAAAAAAAAAAAAAGTAAAGGGCCCATTTTCCATGCCTTTAGGCGTATAGGGCATATAGTGCTAGACCTATATTTTATAGACCAATCGGCACAAGATGGATGATGTGGTCAGTATCACACTGCCGCCTTTACTTCCCGGGAATGTACCAGGTACCCACTCAAGGCTGGATCGACCTGGGAGCCAAGGTCATTTTTGGAAAAAAGTCCGGCTTCACCAGGGAGCAAACCCACGACCTTCTGATCCGCGGGGAGCATCTAGTCGCTCCACCACGACGACTCCTTATCAACTACCATACCTAGTAATAATTCACATCTTTACCTTTTTCTTCAATGCGTAATTCTTCTTCAGACAATCAATGATTCTGCCTTCCATCCTGGCATCTTTTGGGGACTTGTCCTTGAATACATCCGTGCAGAACTTGGGGATGTCTAGCCTACAAGCCTTCTGTAAGCGAGGGTTGAGTTCGACATCTGCATGACAAATTGAATATGAAAGTAATCTGTAGTGTGTATTTATGTATACTCGGTATCTGTGGCTTAGGAGTTGTGAACGCAGTTCATAATTCCATGGCACAGCTCTGATCCCAGCTACCGGCAAACAAGTGAACATAAAATTGTCTAGAAAATCACAAACAGCCCCCCAAAATTGCTGGAGTTTGTTCTGCAACATCCTGTAAAGGGCAGATAATTAATGTTATTTATGCAAAAGAGAGAAGCTTGTGTAGAGGAGTGGGTTGCAGACAGGTCTGGGCTTTCAGGAGAGAGACATCAGTTTAATCCTCAGTAAGCATTAGCAATTAAAATGGTATTTGTTTAGAGGTTTAAAAGCCATGATGATCAACTTCAATGCATCTGGTTTTATCCTATGCTAAATTTAGTTTTCTGCTCTCACTGCTAAAAGAAAAGGAACGCTACTGTCCATATTCTAAGTTGAAGGAAAAGAAAAGTTAATTACAATGTTGTCAAGTTTAATCTTCAAGGAAAGTAAAAAAAACCATGTAGGCACTCAAAGATTATAACTACAATGATGTTAATTTTTTTTAGTGATTATGACGTTAATTATCAGAAATACATAGAAACCTTGCAGCAAATAGCACAGTAAACCGAGACAGTGCAGCCAGAATGAAAGCTAGAAATCTCACCATTCTATTGGTCTCCGTTTGGGAGAAGTTTTTGTAACACAGAAATATACATACAGACAAACGCAGAGACTTTTAATTTTATAATATAAGATGGCTCCATCCCTCTTTGAAGAATGGCTACCACAAAGAACAAACTCCATCGCTCCAACAACACTGGACAACTCCAAGAACTGCACTCGTTAACTGAGCAATAGCATTCACAAAATGACCCATGGCCTTCAAAATGTGAGGCATACGGCTTCATCTCTAACCCACAAGGATGATAGTGTAAACTTAAAGACTTCTGCTTCTTCTTCTTTGTGTTTATCTACTATGAACTCCTGGGAACTTCCTGGTCGTTCTTTTAATTCATGATGGTGTAAACTAGAAGACTTCTGCTTCTTCTTCTTTGTGTTCACAGACTGTGAACTGCATTAGCGCAGTCGATAAGAGGCTCGCTTTCAAATCCAGTTGCGACTCACTGCAGCGTACGGTCGGTGTTCGAAACCGGGCAGTTCCCGGGGTCCACCCAGCCTCTAGGAAATGGGTACCAGTGTTGACACTCTGGGGTAAATGGAGAACGTCGCTGCAGCTATAGAGTTACGTGCGAACAACAACAACACAGGCGTACAATTCTTATCAGCTGTCCGTACTGGTGGCAGAGCACTTATGGTTTAAAACCGTGTGCAATGACGCTGGTTCACATCTCCTGACTTTACCTTTATCTAGTGGAAATTCCTGGTTGTTGTTCTCATTTATAATGGTGTAAACCGGAAGACTACTGCTTCTTCTTTCTTCTTCTTCTTCTTCGCGTTCACCAGCTGTAAACTCTGGCGGAAAATTCTGGTTGTTTATCCACTGCTGGACTGCAGTCCTGTTCCAGAACCTGAGTGTTGCATGTGCATCCGTTTGACAGATCTGACTCATTTGTATGCAGACTGCTGGTTCCTTGCCTCTAGGGCAGATGCACTCAGACTTCGAAGGAAGCTCCCAATCAGTCGACTCTTACGACATGCTTTTGGGAAGGCAGTGGGTCTACTCTTGTTTTCCCTATAATAGGGCCACAGAACCCACACGGGGGGCTTCTTCTTTGTGTTCACCGACTGTGAACTCTAGTGGAAATTCCTGACTGTTCTTCTAATTCAGTATTTTGGCATTGTTCTAGAACTTGGGTATTGTGTGCACATCCATTTTACACATCTGGCTTATTTGTATGCAGACTGTTGGTTCCCTTCCTCTCAGTCAGATGCACTCTATGAAGGAAACATCTGTCAAAACTACCACCTGTCTTTACCACTGTTGCTGTGTAGCAGGGGGTTTTTGATCCTGAGGATTTAGGGTTGCATGGCTAGTGCTGTCGCCAAGTACTGTGCAGGTTAGGCTTTTAATTTTTTCCTGCAGCAGAAGAAATCCAGAAACTTACCCAGGATTCGAACCTGGGTCTCCCAAAAATGAAACATGGATTGGGGCTAAACTAAATAGCTGGGACTCACGAGCAGCAGCTACCGCATCTCCTGCAGCTTCCTTCATTTTATTTGCTCGTGAGTCCCAGCCATCTAGTTACACCCCAATCCACGGCGCGTGAGCGGCGTGGGGGATACTATCAGCGGTGGCAGTATAGTCCCTGGAAGTCCGCAATTCGGCGGTTGCGGTATAGTCCCCGGAAATTTGCAATTGACATGTGACTGAGGCCCTGTTAGGGTACATTTCTGGCCTCGATAATTTGGGACCGTTATTCGGAGGACAGCCAATTTTTTTATGGTTGGGGGTCACCACAACATAAGGAACTGTATTAAAGAGTCATGGCATTTGAAATGTTGAGAACCACTACACTAAGTGAATAAACAGAAGCTGCAAATATTCAAGAAGATGCAACAAAAGAAATGGCACAGTGAACAAATGACCTCTAACCTTGAGTCTGCTCAACCTGGCGACGATGAACCACTTGTCCACATTTGTCATCAAAATCAATGTCAATGTCCTTCTTGTCTATGAGACACTTCAGGAGGTCAGCCTCTTCAGATTCAGTAGGGCAATGTTTCTAAAAAAAAAAATGAAAAAAAAACCTGGAGAACACAGTTTTAAAAAAAAAAAACATTCAGTAATGTAAAAGCCGTTGGCACCAAGTCTTATGACAGATTTTTGAATCCATCAAAGATAAATATAGCTGAGAATAGAGAGTGGGCAGCAACAATTAACTTCAAAATCTGTTTAAAAACACCACTAATTACTGACATCTGTTGTGTGCTAAACCCACCTTGCTGTTCAAGTGTACCAGGGGTCGTAAGGCGCCAGATGATGATGATGGCAGAGATGAGTGCGAAAGGTCCACATAGCTCTAAAATGTAAGACGAGTCTTTCTCGAGTTTAGCGAGAGACTGCGGATTTATGGGTTTTGCAAGACCTATGCGTGACTAGACGGTGAAGTGAAAGTTAGCCTGTGCCCAGTCAGTGACCATCAGTCTGTGAGAGAGTTAGGACGTGTATGACTTTTAGTCGTAATTATGTGTAGTATTTTATTCTGGTGAAAGCTTAGATTGTTCATTAGAATGTGGCATATAATTCAGAATGCTCCAGTTGAGTGTGTACACACTTGAGCAGATTTGGAGATATAGATGGTTAAACAGAGAGCTGAGTTGATGGAGCAGTTGGGAGGAGTTTGTCTTGGGTGAAAACACGTGTTGGCGTCACTACGGAAACAACACAACGGATTCTACTTACGAGGCAGTGAGTGTGCCTCGTAGATGTCAGGCTATCGACTGTGCATTGATGGTTTCAGAATTGGGAGTCAAGCCTGTCATCGGAGAATTCCTCATCGTGGCTGACTTGCTGTGTGCACGTCGTGGGAACTTGAGCATTTAGAGGTTCCCAGACAGTCAATGTGAAAATGCCTTCTACTGAGTTTTAGTAATGGAGGTCCAGCTGAGTAAGATAAATGAAGCTTGTTCATTCTTACTGCTAGCCCTAGAGTGAGGGTTCGTCAGACACCGAGGGTACGGATCAGCAGCGAGTTAAGGCTGTATTGAGGAGCGCCACTAGAAACTGCTATGAGAAGATAGAGCATAGGGTGTTAGCTTCTGTTGGGGACTCATGTCGAGTCGAGGCTAGGTTTTGCACTTTAAGGTGATGCCGCCTTGGAAGTATACCGATGGGCATCTGTGAAGTATTAGACAGACAGTAGTTCTGTAATCACCAATTCATCTTTCTCATCATTATGAGTTTGTCCATAAAGGGACTGATGCAAGAGTATAGCGATGACTTTTAACGTATATTTATTGACGCTGTTATTGTTGTTTGTGGAACGATGTGACTAGGTATAACTGATCTAGACACTCTCCGGTAGGGAACCCAACTAGTCGTCGGATAGTGGACTTTCATATAATTTATATACACATGTACACACAGGTGAAGTAAATAATCATTCACCTCTAGACACTTGGCAGACATGTGGTCCCTACCCCCGGACAGCATACATCACATTATAAGGGCTAACAGACTGCAATGGTTGGGGTATTTGGAGAGAATGCCAGCAGACAACAGAGAGACAAAAATTGCATACATAAAAGAGTTGAAATGGAGTAGATAAAGGCATATCAAGACAATGGAACACAAATTTTTTCGGCTTGAAAACTCATCTTGTACAGTATTTACAACAATCAAACATAAATGTAATAAATGTATCAGAATAAGTCAAAGAAACAAGAATAATGAGACCAACCTTGATCATCTCCTTGCAAACATGCAACAAAGTATAGTCTCCAAACATTGCATCATCCCTCTGTGAACATAAATGTCCATGACCTTTATATATTCCTTCCAGGACTTTAACATGTTCAAGTATCAACAGCTTTCACAATCAGGAGTTAAACAAAAATCCATCAATATAAAGGTACAATGACTGACTGACTGACTGACTGACTGACTGACGTTCAACCCCACTGGGACCGCATGACATGCGATAAACACATTGTGACACAAAGTGCCACCATTTGGATGCGAATCACACAGGTGCAAGTACCAAAAAACTCCTTTCAACCTTATAATTGGCGCCACTGATGACAGCCAGGGTGGGGCTTTTAAACAACAAAAACACTGCGTCCCACCCACATCAGGATAGGGATTAAGGTACTATGATCAGTGCACAGGTGTATCAACAATATGCTTGCTCCTGGTTCGATCCCAACTAGTGGTACGATAATTTATTCAACTGTCAAAGATTACTCTGATTTCTTCTCTGTCATGGGCTGTGGGATGTTGGGTTTCTCCAGGCACTGGAATGGAAGTGAGGGCATTATGTTTAATCTACTGCTGACTGTTTCTGGCAGCTTTGCCTGCAGCTGTTTCTAAAAGATCTGTTGGTAAGTTAACTATGAAGAATTGTTGTTTCTTTGGCTGTATACTCCAGAGGAAAGTCACTGCTGTTCATCCATTTCTAGACTTTGGCTTTGTGCCAGCACCTGAGTTTTGCAAGTGAATCCATTTTATAGATCTGTGCAGTCAGTTATTTTCTTGCCAATCAGGCAGATGCACTCTCTTCTTCTTCTTCTTCTTCACCCAGTTCTAAACTCTGGCAGAAAGTTCTAGTTGTTTGTCCACCTCATGACTTTAGTCTTGTTTCAGAACCTGAGTGTTGCATGCACATTCGTTTCACAGAGGCTTAAAAGACAACTTAAAGAGATCATCATCACATTATGGGTCAAATTATGAGAAGAAAACCGGAACACGTTGTGACCATGGAAAAGATCTGTGGGAAAAAAAGGTAGACGAATACAGCGCAAGATTATTCTTGACAGTATTCATAGCATGGATAGGTGTCAACACACGAACTGATACAGGCAGCTGCAGATCACTGATTGTGGAGAGACATGATCGCCCATGCCAGCCGGCAAGCCAGTTCATAATGATGATGAGTCCTATCCAGCCACAACGTCTTTTGCTCACCTACTGATATTAAACATTTCAAACACTATAAAACCATGTGAAGTTTAAAGTACCTCTCTCTGAAAAACCACTTTATAACAGGAGTCGCCCAGTTTTCTCTTGTGGTCCCGCAGACACTCCATGACCTGGTTAAGAAAAATACACTAGTGTGAAAACAATTGTTTTAGTCAATCCCAAATCTTTCACCTATGAGCTGGAAATGCTAAAATCAACAAACCAACAAAGTTTTAAAAACAAATGTGAAGAATGTTTTCCCAGTGGCATTGCTGTGTGGGTTCTGGTTTCCATTATTGGGAAAGGGGGTGTCAACCCACTACATTTTAAGGAAAAAAGTTAGTTAATATGTGTGGCTGTTCGTGGTTTTATTAGGCAATTTTTATTAATTTGGCTGTTCATGGTTTTACTAGGCAATTTTCATATATCTGGTTGTTCATGATTTTATTGGGAAATATTTATAAATTTGGCTGTTACTTGATTTCATTGGGAAATTTTTTATATATTTGGCTGTTGATTTTACTGGGACATTTTTTATATAGATGGTTGTCCGTGATTTTACTGAGAAATTTGTATGTATTTGGCTGTTTGTGATTTTACGGGGAAATTTGTATATATCTGGCTGTTTGTGATTTTACTAAGAAGATTTTATTTGTCTGGCTGTTGGTAATTTTACTGTGCAGTTTTTATGTATTTGGCTTTTTATGATTTCATTGAGCAATTTTTACATATTTGGCTGTTCATGATTTTACTAGGCAATTTTATATATTTGGCTTATCATGATTTCACTGAGCAATTTTTATATATTTGGCTGTCAATGATTTTACTGGGCCGCCTTACATTGGTTCAACAGTGGCATTGAGAGCCGGCCATACGAATCCAGAAGCTAGGACAAACTACTGAACATAAAACTACCTCGTAAAATCATGAACAGCCAAAAAATGCTGGGCTTGATTCTTTAACATCATGTAAAGGATACGCAACTAATTTATATTCTTTTTTTTTTTAAACACACATAAAGTCAACACATGTGAAACCAAATGTCTGAGGAAGGCCACAAATATAACCACCGGAGACAAGGGTGATTAGGAGCATTTCAGACAGATCCATAAATGGTCTGATCACCTCCTCAACAGTTTCACAAGTGTGAAACTACAGATAACACCTGTCATAGGTTGATTAATCAAATGTCTTGTCCCCTTAGTAAAATGCTCATTTCCTGCAGCTCCAGGCTGCACCTTGTCCATCTGCATTGACATGGAGCAATTCCTTTTTTGCTATTTACTGTATTTGGCTTCATGATGTGTGCCACATTTGGCGCTGACAACAATGTTTTTTTTTTCCAGTACTGCGCTGACTCACAGCAACAAGAGGGAGTGAGGCACATAGGGCTAGATTTATATTTTACAGACGAATCGGTACTCAGCAGGTGATGTGATCAACATCAAGCTGGCTACCTTTACTTCCCAGGACTTTACCTGATACACATTTTGGGCTAAATCTACATGAGGACAATGTCATTTTTCGAAGGGATAAAAGTCTTGCACCATTTGGAATACAGGCAGCAAGAGCATTTTTTTTTTAACAGCAATGAAATCCAGAATTCACAATAAAAATAGCACCAATCAATGCCCTTCATTCAAAACTGGATCATCAACTCTAACGATGAATAAATAAATAAATAAATAAATAAATCTAAAAGCAAATTCACTGTAAGATATCTGCCCCTTTTGACTCAAATTTAACTGAACAAAATAATAATAATAATTAAAAAAAAATATATACAACTGACAAACAAATTTAACACCTGGTGAGTGAGTGACATTTAACCCCACTAGGACTTCCACCAGGCGATAAACATCTAGTGACACATAATGCCACCATTTGGATGAGGGTCACCTGGGAAGAGGTCCCAGAAATCTTGTTCACCGTTAGATTGTATTAGGGCTCCAGAATAACAAAAAGTTGCATCCTACGTTGAGACGACAGATAATTAATACAAAGAGATACTTCTACTTCTGATTTTTCCTTAAAATGATAGTTATTATGTTATGTTGAGGTTCAACGCTAACCTGTGATATCTACATATTTCAGAAAATTCTTAATTATTTGCCTTTTATGACATACTAATTAACTCTTTCGGTCCCAAACAAGGCAACATATAGCAGCTTTTGTCTGTGTATATCAATTATTTATTTTATGTTTGGTCTGGGCATGCAAAAGAAATCTGGCGGTTATTTTAAACGCAGCACAGTGTATGCTGTATCTTCAAAAGTCATACCCTGATGCCCTATTCACCATGATTTCTGTGCCAAATTGGGTTTCTAATTTTAAAACCATCCGGGACTGAAGAGTTGAAAAGCAGTGGGTCTATTATTGTCCACCCCCCCCCCCCCACCCCTACCACCAAATGGGACCTCAGAAAACTGACACAGGGACAATTAACAGATGCGACCCTGGCACATGACTTTACCTCTCCGGCTCCTTTTCTCTTATGCTGACAAAGGTCATGAATTTCCTGCTCACACTTCTCCTTCAGCTCAGGATCAAGGTCAACTGCTTCCCCCTAAAAATTGACAAGAAACTTTCTTCTTTTATGATTTTCTACAGTTTAAACAGCCAGTGAAATATACATGTAAATATAGACTTATGTCAGATTCTTCAGATATGTAAAATCCCTGCAGACTTATAAATTGGATGCTCAAACATCAAATACAGTAAAACCATGTTAATGTGAACTTCCTTAAGAAAGACACATGTTTAAACTAAGCACAAATTTTTGTCCTAGCAAAAATGCTCTGATTGCCTCTTCAATAGTTCCACATGTGTGAAACTACTGATACAGTCTGTCGTAAGTTGATTAATCAAATGTCTTGTCCCCTTAAATGCTTATTTCCTGCAGCTCTAGGCTGCACTCTGGTTGGCATTAATATTTCGAACTTGAACTCTTGATTTTTTGGTCCCTCGGAATTTGTGTTAAGAAGGTTTTGCTCTAAGTGAGCATATCAAGATCTACAGAGTGAATCAAAAGATGGCTGTCATACAGAAGACAAAGTGTCTGGTACCCCTTCCTAACAGGTGCCAACAAAACAGCAGTGGTAAACTTACAGAGTATTTTACTGGGTAATTTTCACAACTGTACAAGAGATCAAGGTCATCATGTGATCACGTAATGGCAGTTCCAACTTCATAGTTGCTCCATTCTTGTGCCAATGAAAACCAAATAATTTATGTTACTGTCTCTTACGAAAAAACTGACATGAACTGCTGTCTTACCAAATTCAGTAGCAAACGCAAGCTTTAAATGCATAAGGCAGCTATCAGAAGTGCCAACACAAACAGTCTACCATTGTAAATGCAGTTTACCATTAGTAATTAAACTTTTCACTAGTTGCACATGCAATTAATCATCCTCGGCAGCACCAGTTCTCTGGCCATTCATCATTTTCCTGAATCTGCAGTTCACAACATAAACCACGCTGGCACAGTTTAAAAGCATTTTAAATAAAATCTGCAGCTCACAGTGTTACACCAAGCACTGAACTCGGCAGCAATGGAACCACAGCCTTCCAGTCTATATATAGAGGAAAATGCAACTGATAACTATTATCAGAAGCAAACACTACTTGCCACGACTTTTAAAAAAATGGAAACCCTCCTATCACCATACTGCCCAGAAGCCATGATCAAAGCGATCAAAAAAAATAAGGAAATACAATTAAAAGACCATCTTGACTACTCCAGAGGTGATATGGCATATAGGCTTATACCACTAGACCAGAGGTCCCCATCCTTTTTCAGGTCGCACCCCCCTTGAATACATGGCAAGACCTTTGCACCGCCTTAAGTAAATGGCAAGACCCCAGGGCCCCCCCCCCCTTGTGTATGTGGCAAGACACCCAACTGTAGATATACAAACTGCTTATGAAAACAAAAAATTTCATTGGTTTTTAGTTTTATAAATGGTTTCCAAAATTTGTATTTGTTTGTTTATAATTAAACTGAAAAAAAAAAAATAATATCACAGATTATTACAAATACAAATAGGCTCAGTTTTGAAATTGTCTGACACCATTCTTAAAACCTTCTCGCGCCCCCCAAGGGAAAAAAGGGGGCAGGGGGCCTCAGGTTGGAGACCACTGTGCTAGGCCCACATTTAAACAGACCAATCATAACTCAACAGGTGATGGGGTCAACATCATGCCGGGTGCCGATATAGACATATTTCCAAAGCAAAAAGCCGGCACCATCAAAATAAACGAAATACCTCTGAGAGATGATAAAGAGCCCACATACCTAGGAGTCACATTTGATGACAGGTTGACATGGAGAAAACATATCAACAAGGCAGCAACCAAAGCCAGGAGGAAGACAGCAATACTAAGAAAACTAAGTGGAACCACATGGGGAGCAGATGGGAAAATACTCAATAAAGTATACAAGCAGAGCATACTTCCACACTTGGAATATGGGTCAACTGCATGGTGTTCAGCATCTAGTACCACATTAAAGGAGTTTAGACAAAGTGCAAAATCAAGCGCTCAGAGTCATCACAGGAGGGATGAAATCAACCCCCATATTAGAAATGGAGAAAGCTGGGAAAACACAGGCACTGAGAGAACGCAGAGATACAAAGTTGCAAATACAAGCTGAAAAGTTCCTCAGTATGCCAGATCACCCGATGGAAAATAGATTTAAGAACCTAGCCTTGGGACGGTTAAAAAGAAGCAGCTTTATACACCAAGCAAAAAGAATATGTAGACAAACTCCTGACCTTCCAGAAATTGGCTGCCCACTTAAAAGTATTCCGGAACAAACCCCATGGAGAGAAAAATGTAAACTAACGGTACAAATCCAGACAAATGTGAAAGGGATATTTGACAAGAAAGAGCAAGATAGTGTACAACGCAAAATGGCCACCCTCAGTTATATTGATGAAGAATACCCACAAGAACAATGGGTCAGAGTCTATACAGATGGGTCAGAGTCTATACAGATGGGTCCGCAGAAAGTGCAGTTAGAAATGGTGGTGCTGGAGTGTACATCGAATTCCCAGATGGTACTAGGGATAAGTCCAGCGTACCAACCGGGAAGTACTGCCATAACTACGATGCAGAAACCCAGGCTATTAAGATAGCTACAGGGAAACTGCTAAATACCAACCTTGGCTCACAGTATGTGGTAATGCTTACAGATGCTAAATCAGTACTTGAAGCACTCCAGTATAGGAAACTACCAGAATTGCAAACACTGCTGACACAACTCAGCGTTCAGCGAAAAGTCGTAATGCAGTGGATACCGTCTCATTGTGGAGTGCCTGGAAATGAGAAAGCTGATCAACTGGCAGGGGAAGGTGCGACAAAAGAGCAGCCAGATGTACCAGTCACATACCACCAAAAGAAAAGAATCATTAAATCGATCAGGAAACCACCAGCCCCAGCACAAGACGACTATTTTATTATGGACAGACCAGAACAAGTCATTATCTTCCGCCTCAGAACAGGGCACAACCGATTACGTAACCACATGTACACAAAATTCAAGATAGGTGTATCAGCCATGTGCACCTGTGGAAATGTGCCCCAGACCGCAGAGCATGTACTCCAGGACTGCACCGATTTTGACACATTAAGGCAAACCTTTTGGCCAGAAAGAACAACAGTGGAACGTAAACTCTATGGACCACTGAATGAACTAACAACGACAGTGAAATTTATACAAGAGACAAAACTGCTGATATAGATAACTTATTTCAGGCGAACGAAAGAAGAAGAAGAAATGCCGGGTGCCATTTACCTTTCAGGTCATTTCCTTGTACCTATTTTCAGGTCAGGTCGATACAGGAGTAAAAGTCAATTAAACTCTGGTGGAAAGTTCTGGTTGTTCATCCACTTCTGGACTGCAGTCCTGTTCCAGAACCTGAGTGTTGCATGTGCATCTGTTTGACAGATCTGACTCATTTGAATGCAGACTGCTGATTCCTTGCCTCTCAAGCAGATGCACTCCGACTTCGAAGGAAGCTCCCAATTACTCAACTCTTACAACATGCTTTTGGGCAGGCAATGGGTCTATTCTTGTTTTCCCTATAACTGGGCCCCAGAACCCACACAGGGAAATCAGCCTCATGATATCACTAATTAGTGACGATTTAAAGAGATTATGAATTTCATTCGTGGTTCACATTCTCAACCTCTGCTGTTTTGCATCTCTGACGTGGTCGTAGATTCAAAGTAAAACTGTTCTGTCAAAAGGTTTTCTGTCTTTAAGTTATGCTCCAGGTTTCAGAAGCATATACGACAACTGTCTTTTTTTTTTTTAACATCGTGATCTTGGTATTACAAGACAGCATCTGATTTTAGCAGATGATGTGGAGCAGGGATTTTCAACTGGCCGCCAGAAGTCCAAATCTGGTCCGCAGAGCCATAGCAAGTGGCCTGTCAACCGTTGCCAGTTGTACTGCATTAATGATCTTTCTAAGCTGGAACTCGAACCTTTGGCCTGTGCCGACCCCCGTTCTCAACACTGTGGCCTCTGAATAAACTTTGTTGAATAACCCTGATGTAGAACATAGTATGCAGACTACATAACATAAAACACAAGCGAAGCTAGGTCTACAAGCTGCTTGTTCAGGCGTGTTAGCTGTATATAAAAACAACTGCAATAAGAGTAATAAGGTGGGCTTTTTTGTTGGAACCATATTGTTAAAGCAGAAACAACTCCCTGTGTGAGTTCCAGAGCCCCATTGTGGATGGAGAGAAAAAAAAAAAAGAACAGACCCACCAGGTGTTCCCTAACAAGCATATTGTAGGATGTGAATAATTAGTGATGTTTCCTTTAAATTTAGAATGCATCTGCCTGACAGTCAAGGAACCAACAGTCTGCATACAAATAAGCCAGATGTGGACAACAGGTGTGCAAGCAAAATCAATTTATGGAATGAAAGAACAGTCCAGAAATGAACGAACAACCAGAGCTTTCTGTCGGAGTTTACAGCCAGTAAACACTAAGAAGAAGAAGAAGCAGAGGAAGAGGAAACAAAAAGAACAACACTGGCAGCTTACCCGCTGTAGGAGTTCAAATTTCAGCTGCTTCCGGCACCTTTCCTCTACTCTCTCATGTCCGTCGTTCCTAATGGTGTCATTTCTGACAAGTTCACTCAAGCAAGCTACAACATCATACCTAGTTGAATGGATCAGAATAAGTAATGAATATTGGGTTTCACAGAGGAGAACTGTGGGCCTTATGTGATGTACACTGATGATGATATGGTATCAATTAAGGGGCTGCGTAGTCGATAAGAGGCTCGCTTTCAAATCCAGCTGCGACTCGCTGCAGCCCACGGTCGGTGTTCAAAAGGGTTCACCCAGCCTCTAGGAAATGGGTACCAGTGATGACACTCTGGGGTGATTGGAGAAACGTGGCTGTAGCTACAGAGTTACGTGCGAACGGCGACACAGGCGGACAGTTCTTATCAGCTGTCCGTACTGGTGGCAGAGCACTTATGGTTTATAACCGTGTGCAATGACGCTGGTTCACATCTCCAACTTTACCTTTTTTTCTGGTATCAATAGCCACAGAGGCTAACATCATCATTGTCCTGTTGTGCCGTTATATGTCACATAACACGTACAGTCTATTCCTCCATTCTGTTTTATGCTGTGCAATCAATTCAATATCACGGATGGATTATAGTGCAGCATCCCGTGTCTATGCTGTGCAATCAATTCAATATCACGGATGGATTCCAGTGCAGCATCTTGGGTCTATGCTGTGCAATTAATTCAATATCACGGATGGATTCCAGTGCAGCATCTTGGGTCTATGCTGTGCAATTAATTCAATATCACGGATTGATTCCAGTGCAGCATCTCGGGTCTATGCTGTGCAATCAATTCAATATCACGGATGGATTCCAGTGCAGCACCCCGGGTCTATGCTGTGCAATAAATTCGATATCACGGATGGATTCCAGTGCAGCATCTATGCCGTGCAATCACATCATGGATTAAATCCAGTCCTCCACCTTCGGCCTCTCTCACCAACATTCATTTTCGGGTTTCCTCTGGATGTCCTCACTCCCTCAAACCTTGTATTTCCCATTCAGCTGCCTGTCTGGTCATTCTCTGCTAATTTCTTCTCAGGATATACATATAGCACTATCCTGTTTGTCTTATAACTGTTGTTTCGCACTACAAGGGTTTAAAGTAACCTAGAGATTGATGCACTCATAAATTATATGGGTTACCCTACGCAGTGACTGGGTTTCCAGTCTAATGTTCCAAGCATATCAATACGTGTCCACAGATGTAAAACTCAAACATCTACATTGCAATCTCATGGCTTTCTGCACTCAGAGAAGAAAGAAGAGTTCTGCAACACTGTCTCCAGGGAAATAGTATTCTTCTTTTTTTCTCTTCTGCATTCACCCTTAAAAGGCCAGTGGCTTATTTTTTGTGTGGCTTACAGCTAGGCTGCAATATCTGCATTTTTTTAGCCCAACACATCTGATTTCAGAAAACCCTAAAGTGGTCGCCTTTTACGATATGCTTGTTGGGGGTGGTGGGTCTCTTCTTTTTCCCCACCCACAATGAGATCCTGGAACCCACACGAGTAGAGATGGTAATTTGATAAGCAGCATAGTGTATCAATTATGTAAACTGTGAAGTTATTTCTTCAAATGCTAGAAGTTTATTAAATTTCGCTGATACCAATTATAATTTGAAAGTTAACTTATTTAGATTTCTGCTTAACAGCACAGAAGACTTAAATTCTATCCTTATGAACAGCAGAATTAATTAGATTACAATTTGCATATAAAAAAATTAGTTTTTGTGTGTGTGTGTGTGTGTGTGTGTGTAAACACTGTACACTCATACACTTCTCGTATTAAAGTTAGCAAAATTTATGACAGCCTTTTTTTTTTAGCATAAAATTTAAGTTCTAAACAATAATATGTTAGTATAGCAGACACAGTCTTGAGTAGGTACCGAGTGCAGTCCTGGGAAGTAAAGGTGGCCGGCGTGATGCTGATCACATTACCCATCTTGTGTCGATTGGTCTATAAAAATATATCTAGCCCTATGTGCCCTATATGCCTAAAGGCATGGAAAAAGGACCTAAACTTTTTACTTTACAACCAGATTTTTATTCACATGACAAATTTCAGTTGTAGATACAAAAATACAGCAAGACTAGAAATAACACACAGTCAGACTCAGGCAGTAAGTTCAAGCAAGAGAGCACAAGCAATCAACAGATCTTGTATAGCAAGCACTACCAGACTCACTTGGTCTTCTTGTTTCTGCAGTGATGTGACACAGATTCCTGGCAAGCTTCATGGAACTTCATGCTGAACCGAAAGTCTTTCAATGATAACTGAAGTTTTGGAAGAGAATTTCAAAAGAAACATGCCCTTAGCTGTTTAATTCACCAACTGTGTACAAATGGATCAAGTATGCAAATAAAAACAAAAAATCACAAACATCAAGGATGTGTTTGTTTTCATAAGTTATTTGTACATCTGCCCTTAAAAATCTAAATATTAGGATAATGTAAGTACCGATTAAGTTAGAACAGTTAGAACATGGGAACAAAATGTCAAGGACCATATTGTGTGGAGGTGGTACATCATGAAGGGAATGAGAATGAAGGAAGAAATGATTGCAGAAAGGATGAGAGCTGAGCGTCTGAGAAGAAAGAGACCAAACACAAATGTTCACAACACTAGTCCTGAAATTCCATGCTATAATTGTGGAAGACTTCTTAACGCAGGCGGGTCTTGCTAGTCACACTCACCATCATCATGGTCTGTGAGTCGCATGCTTCCTCATAGCGCAATATAACACTATCGTCTGGAAAGAGGTAAAGGTGCTGATCAAGTTGGGGGAGGAGGGGGGGGGGAACATAGTGGTCTTGCCAAATATTTGGGAAGGGACATGAAAAATGTTTAAAACCACTGGTTTAACAGCACTGATCCCATCTGTTGCTTATCAAACTATCATCTCTCCCCATGGGAGCACTAGGTTGGTGTCTGTTTACAGTAAAACATTGAAAAACCCGTTAAGGAAAATATTTCTTATGGAGGTTTAACTTCATTCTCATCATCCTGCTGTACCGATATACTTCTTCTTCTCTTTGTTCTCCCAGTCAGTGGTTTTCAGATGAGAAGGCTACAGTCCTCTATGAAGTCTGTGGTGTGAAGTAGGTCTTTCACTGATACCCACAGCTTGGTTTCCATCGGAATGCCAAAGAGTGAAACCTGGGATCTGTCTCCTGCATGTAGAGAGCACGTCTGTAGAACACGGTCAGTATTCTATGGTGCCTGACTACAGGGGGCAAAGTCCTGAACCTCCAATCCTGAATTTCTGGTACATATGGCTGCAGAGTCTGTTGCGTCCAGTACACATTCTGAATATAAAGGTCTGTTTCTTTCGTATGAGGAGGTTGACTGGGTCAAGGAGTCACTTATATCCTGTGCCCATCTTCGTGTTGGTCGGCCCCTGCGCATCCTTCCTGGTACCATGCCTTCTACTATAATTTTTTCCAATCTGCCATGGTACTTGATATGACCAAAATATTTCTGCTTCAGAGACAGGATGCTGTTTATTAGCCAATCTTCCTTGATGTTCAGATCTTTCAAGATGTCAGTTTTCTTAAGGCGGTCAATACAACTACCCTTACTTGCTTTGCCATCGTTCTCTTTCCCAGTTCGTGTTTGTGATATACCTGGCCTGGGGGCCTCATCATCAGATCTCTTTCATTTTTGGCTTCCATGATGAGTTTCTTGGGATAGAAATGTGGTAGTTTCCCGTTGATTTCCACATCAACATGGCTTTAGACTACATCCTCAAACTTCAGCAACCTTTTCGATTGCTAGGGCGAGTGCCCTGCTCTGTGATGCTCCTGCTAACACCCCAGAGGTGTCCACTTATCCCGGCGGATACTCGGTCCCCATAGCTGTGTTGGCCACACTGCAGTCTGTTTACCATCCTCTACTGTGTGGAGATGCAGTTGGGGCTTTCCCTTCACTGAGTTTTGAGACCAGAATGGCATTTCGCAAAACTCTCCAGTACAATAGTTCTTGCATCTACTTCATTTCTCACATGAACTCTTCTAGTTTGTCCACAGCTCTTCTCAAATATCTGATTTTGCAGATGAAGGCTTTTCTATCGTGATCTTTAGTCAATGTCCTAGACTGGCACTGATTGCACAAGGTTGCTATAAAGACTATTTATAATTTGTCTTATTGTCTCTTTATTTCTTATATGAACTCTTCTAGTTTGTCCACAGCCCTTCTCAAATATCTCATTTCGCAGGTGAGGGTTTTCTATCGTGATCTTTAGTCAATGTCCTAGTCTGGCACTGATTGCACAAGGTAACTATGAAGACTATTTATAATTTGTCTTTTTGTCTCTATTAGGAAGGCCATGTGTTTCAGTTGATACGTGACAGTGTTGGCTTGTCAGATTCTTGTTTCAATCTGTCTATTCTGCCATCATATGTGAAGATGCTCCCCAAGTATTTAAAGAGTCTACTGACATGACATTGACCTGGCTGCTTCGAGTTACTAAGCTAAGTGATTTTGTGTATTTGTGTGGTATTGTTTTATTTATGTATGTGCTGATGAAGGCTTCACAGCCGCAACATTCATGTTTTGTTTGAGTTCGTTTAATTCTGAAGCTTGCTGAATTAATTTTCACTCGGTTTTATATTTTTTCAATTATTTAAAATATTGTTGGCCTCTTTGGCTATTGTTATTGCTGAAAATAAAAATGCTGAACAAACACTTACAATCTGGCGATGCTCAATGCTAGCTGCACACTTTGGCACCATGCGGTCATCATTCTTATGCTCAATCAGGCAAGTCAGGACTTCATTAGGCATGGCATCACTGTTCAGTAAATCCTGCAAGTTGGAAACAATTACTGATTTCAGAAATACAATCAATTTAGAGCATTCTTTTCCTGGTTTAATAGAGAAATAAAGACATTTCTGGAGCATATTAACAGAAGCATAGAGAACTACCATCCGCATCAGAAAAAGACAACCTTTGCATTTTGGGCACAAGTCTTTATTAATTTACACACAAAAACTTTAAAAAGTCCACGCCATGTGGTGTTTGTAGTCATGTCTATCCACAATCTTCTGTCTCGTGTACTTTCAGTTAACTCTGAAACAGATGATTCCCAAATCATGATGCCAAACTCGGTCTCCTCTGCCTCTGTTCCCTTCCAGCTTTCCTACTTTCACGATGCACTCCAGTTTTCTCCTACTCATAACATAACCAAAGAATGTAGAACGTCTCTTTTAGATGTGAACAAAACAGTTCTCTGGATGAGTTGTTTCTTTTAAGACATCTTCATTACTCTTTTTATCTGTGCAGGGTATTCTCATTGTTTGTCTATTAAACCATATTTCTACAGCTTCAAAATAATTATTCACTAAGGTACCAGCTGTCATTTCCATATATCAGGAAAAGATTTATATAGCTTTTAAGAATAATCTTTCTTGTCTCAACTGACAAAGAAAGATTGAACAGAATATTTTTTTCATTTTGTAAAATAATGTCTTTTCTTTAGCTATTCTATATTTAACTTCTTTAATACATCTTCCATCTGATGTTATCAGGGTACCAGGTAAATAGATGTATCAATTTTCTTGAGGTTTGTCCTGTTGTCTTTGATGTTGCATTTTTGTTATTCCAATTACTTCTGTATTTCTGCTATTCAGATTAGGACCCTTGTTTTGACTTCCTGTTACAATTATAGCCATCATGTCAAACAAGATGACTTGCCTACAATTTCAGCATCATTAACTCTTTGAGTCCCAAGGAACGCATCATACGTTCATAGGTCCCTACCTATAAGCCAAATGAATGCCGATTTTATGTCTCTCTTCACTACCCCTTGGGCCTGTGATGCTAAACCCCCTGGGACTCAAAGAGATAACAGGAAAACCACATTTCTGAAGGAATAACATGGGTCATGCTGTAATTCAGCTTAGCACATAAAAAGGCTCTATAATAAACAGCAATGCAGACAATCGACAAAATAAAAGGAGGATGGCCATAGCAATGCAAAGATTGAAAAGCCTTTTAAAAGCCTATGGTTCAGCACCCACAAGGAGATAAAAATTAGTACTTTGAGAGCATGTATCTTCCCTGTGGCTACATACAGATGTGAGTCTTGGACTATCTCTCAGTCCTTAAGAAAGAAAATAGGGGCTTTTGAGCTGAAATGCTATAGAAAGATTTTCAGAATATCTTGGACAAAGAAGAGGAGAAATACTGACATCTTAAAAGATCTGAACATCAAGGAAGATTGGCTAATAAACAGCATCCTTTCTCAAAAGCTAAAATATTTTGGTCATATCAAGCGCCATGACGGATTGGGAAAAATTATAGCAGAAGGCATGGTACCAGGAAGGAAGGACAGGGGCCAACCAACACGAAGATGGGCACAGGATATAAGCGACTCCTTGAGTATGAAAGTGCATGAGGTGGGAGAACTGGCGAGAGACTGAGTTTCTTTCAGGCAGACTATGATGAGAGCGACGTTCTGCAAAGGACCTGCTACATGATGTTGACATAAAAACTAGGTGGGATAAAGGATAAAACCTAGGTTGGTAATCTAGAATTAGTAATCATGTGGTCACCAAGAGAATTTAGATATTTCATGGACAAAATGTTTTAATCAAACATTCAAAAGATTGCTAAAACATTTAAAATATAAAAAAACACACACACATTAGTTCAAAATACATTTTTTAAAAATCTTTTTTTTATTTTTAATGCCAGACAACTGGCAAGAGAGATGCTAAGCTCTAAACAAGTGTTTCCCAAAATTCTGGCCCACCGCTCACTTGTCAATATAAAAATTACTCCCCCCCACCCCAACCATTACCATCATGTGCAATACCGATAAGCATAGGTGGTAATAAAAAGAACTGCTTATAAACTCAGAAATGTTTTGTTTATTTTTAAACATTAAATATAACTATGATTTGAATCACTGTACAAAGGTATGAACAGTTAATACAAATCTTCTTTTCTTTGTTTTGTGTTCTTCTTTATAATCTGCTGCCTTCATTTTTATTTAGTGTCCCTAACTGCACCCGAGGCTGCCCCCCCCCCCCCAACCCCAGTACCCACTTAGGAAATATTGTTTTAAACACTTTGCCACAGTGATTTCATTATTCATGAAATTAATTTACAATTTTTTTTATTTACAAAGAAAATACAGTAAAGTTAAAGACAAACGTATGCACCCACATTGCAAAATCTCTTGATCATTGGCGTACAAAACTTAATCAAGGTTCTGTCCATCTCAATTTCTTCTGATGTCTCCTGCGTGAAGTTAATCACGGCCAGTCGACATTTTTCTCCCAAGTCATCAAGAATCGACTGCAGACAATCCATCTCCTGTAAACAACAAATGTAGATCATTTGTAAAGCCATATTTTTTTTTTACCATCACTACTGCCTGATTTGGGGGTCGCCGTGGCGTTGGCTGCTAGACGCCTGCCCGCGGATTGGTAAGTCGTGGGTTTGCGTCCTGATAGAGCCAGTCCTTTTTCAAAAATGACCTTGACTCCCAGGTCGACCCAACCTTGAGTGGGTACCAGGTGCAGTCCTGGAAAGAAAAGGCAGCCGGCATGATGCTGACCACATCACCCACCAAATGCCAATTGGTTTATACAAGTATAGGTCTATATGCCTAAAGTCGTGGAAAAGGGTCCTTTTGTTTAACTGCTTGATTTATTACTTTTAAAAGCAATGTACCAGAGAATCTCTGGAAGTCAAAGTATAAGAGAGCAGACAATACCAGTGATTTGTAAATATTGACCTTGACTGTAATGCTAATTTTGCTCTTCCACGTCATATTCAACTGAAATAAAATATGCTGGCAATAGGATCATCATCATCAAGTGTCTCGCAGACTGGCATGGGTGATCATGTCTCTCCACAATCTGCTATCTTCAACAGCATCAGTTAATGTGTGGACACCCTCCAAGCCCTGAAAAAAGGCTGTAACATCTCACGAAAAATTAATGTCAAGTTTTGGTTGTTCACCCACTCCCAGACTCTGATCTTGATCCCGAACTCGAGTTTTGCATGCATATACATTTTACAGATCTGACTTATTTGTGTGCAGACTGCTGGTTTCTTGCTTCTCAGGCAAATGCACTCTGACTTTGAAAGAAACACACCTAACCAAACACCTTCTATGACACGCTTGTTAGGGGTGCGGTGAGTCTGTTTTTTGTTCTCCATAACGGAGTGCAGGAATCCACATGGAGAATACAAGGGTATAAAATATAGGAGCAGGAAGTGATGTTTGACAGTTCAGTAATTTATTTTATTACTAACAGCTTTTATGAATTTATTTTCTGATAATAGCTTAACAGCAGTCACTACTATTTTCATCACTTAGGTAATAATGGCAACTATGAACCTCTTTTATCTACAGGGATAGGATGGAAAATGCAATTGTACGGACAGGTAATAAGATCTAATCATTATCATCGTCAATTCTTGTTATGCCTAGTGGCACAAGAGGCTTCAGAGAGGACTTTCCATGCTTTCCTGTCCTGTGCAATCTTCAGTGCAGTTTTCCATGTCAGAGATGCTGCACTCATGTCACTTTCCATCGTTCGTCTCCATGTCGTTTTTGGGCGCTCCTTTTTTCTCTTTCCCTCTGGTATCCATGTTAGAGCCTGTTTTGGCAGGTATATCAGGATTCATTCTCATAACGTGGCCAAGCCATTTCCATCTTCTCTTGGTTATCATACTGAATAAGATCTAATGGCCTCTGAAAAACAATACAAGAGAGCTCAAAAGAGGGGAAGAGGCAGACCAAGAAAGATATGGAGACAGAGCCAGACTGACTAAACAGGCCTTAGGAATGCAACCATGAAGTTCATCGCATCTGGCCGTCATAGGTGGACACAGCTGATCAGACAGTCATCAGAAACTGGTGACCCAACATCACGCAGTGTTAAGGGACGATGATGACGAAGTGACAGTGGGTCTATTTTCCCTGCCCCCGCCACCTCAAGTGGGGTCCCTGGAACCCTCACATGGAATTGTATTTTTAGAGACATAAACTTACTCCTCCATACTTCACATGCTCTCCATCGTCAGAACAATGCTCGGAGAGATCTTCTAAGCAAACCTCCTCAATCTCCGGCATCAGGTTCACACTCGCTGACCTCTCCCTCATCACTCGCTTGATTTCATGGATGCACGGACGAGACGGCTAGAAGGAAGCAACAGAATGTCAAACTTTTAAAACTGTTTCGGTGACCCCCAAGAACAAAAACAACAGAGTTTATAGAATGGCAAAAATATTTTTAGTTGAGATAAGTTAAAAATCTAAATCACAGCACTCGGAATATTTCCTTAAGTACTCTATCCCCATATTTAGCAGTCAGTTCCATTTCTGACAGTACCAGTAACAGTCTGATTGTATGTCCGTTGTCTCTTTTCTTTGAAAGTTTACTGTCAGCCAGATCCACTTGTCACTACATTCTTTTAGACATTGCTGATCTATTTGTGGTTCAGCACTGTTCAAATGGGTACCAGGATGGGCTGTCCTGGGAAAGTAAAGATGGCCAGCGTAATGCTGACCACATTACCCACCGAGTGCCGATTGGTCTGTAAAAATATGGGTGCTCTTCCCATATGCCCGATACGCCTAAGGGCGTTTAAAGGGATCTTTACTTTTTTTTTTTACTTACTGTTCACTTGCTCCAACGGGCACTGATCACATCTAGTTTAAAATATTTTCAACATTAGAAACATTATCTAGTTAAATAAATAATGCATTAAAAATGAGAACTTGAGAGTTTTATATATACACACACCTACTATACGGTAGGGAGTCGCCGTGGCGTAGCAGCTAGACACTCGCATGCGGATCAGAAGGTTGTGGGTTCTCTCCCTGGCAGAGCCAGACATTTTTCCAAAAAATATCTTTGACTCAGAGGCTGACCCAGCCTTAAGTGGGTACCGGGTGCAGTCCCAAGAAGTAAAGGTGGCTGGCATGACGCTGACTACATCACCCATCTTGTGCCGATTAGCCTATACAAATTTACCTCTAGCCCTATATGCCCTATACGCCTAAAGACATGGAAAAAGGGACCTTTACTTTTACTGATAAGTGAACAATGAACAAGAAATCAGAAAGTCAGACTAAACCCTTGAAAATATGGATACATGGAAGATCAGGTTGTATTTTCATAGGAACCAAAAATAATCAAATACAGTAACTGTGATAAGACTATGAAAGAAAAGAGAATTATTAAAGAAATAAAAGAGACAACTGAAATATTTTAGCAACACTAAAATATGTAACACTCTTCTAAGTACCGTAACGGAGGGAAAAGCTGATTGGGAAGAAAACACTGATAGATGAATTAACTATCTGAAAGAGTGTACAAGTAAGAGAAAGAGGTGTCTCGTAACCAGCCTTCATTATGGAGATGGCACCTGATTGATGACCTAATACATAACTGGCCAGCTGTATAATACTCTGAAACAAGGACTGTTGATAAAGGTGAAGACAAGCTTACAGAGTGCAAAGTGGCAAGCACCGCTTTAGGGATCACGGGTGGTTAGCATCCTGCAGATATTTTCTTCAGGACAGTGGTTCTCAATTTATAGTCCACAGGGGCCAAAAGCCAACAGTTGCCACCAGAACTGCAGTTTGTCGTTGATGGAAGTAGTAGCGCACTATAAGTTGACTATACAAACGTAATATTATTACATACGGAAACTAACTTTGAAACTAAACAGTCAGCCATGCCTAGTATACTTCTTCTTCTTTGCGTTCACCAGCTGTTAACTCTGGTGGAAAGTTCTGTTCCAGAACCTAAGTGTTACATGTGTATCCATTTGACAGATCTGACTAATTTGTGTGCAGACTGTTGGTTCCTTGCCTCTCTGGCAGATGCACTCCAACTTTAAAGGAAGCTCCCAATTAGTCGACTCTTACTACCTGCTTTTGAGTAGGCAGTGGGCCTATTCTTGTTTACCCTATAATAGGGCCCCGGGACCCACACGGGGAGCCTAGTATACTATATTAGACGAGAAGATCAAAACATGACTATTGACAAGTACAGGGTCCATGGCAAACCGTCCAAAATAAGAGGGGTCTGCAGGTATTACCTAACTGAGAACCACTGATCTAGGGCAGTGTTCTTCAAACGGTGAGTTGTGGTCCAAACAAAAACTTGAATGGATATTCTTTCAGCGCTTTGTCTGTCAGAAACAATGCTCCAGTTAAGTATATCAGATTTTCTAACCTTTCAGCTGTAGCAGTGGAGGAATGTATTTTTGTGACATAAGATTCAATGAATAAACCTGTATCTACCTTTGTTCTTGTTTCCATGCTGGGTTAGCTGTCAGGTGGGCTGTGAATCAATTTTCCCTGTTTTGGTGAGCCAGGGTGTAAAAAGGTTGGGGACAGTTTTATTTTTAAATACCTTAACATCCTTGTCTGAACGTAGATGACGATGCAAACAGGCAAAAATTAGAGGTCCTTCTTCTGGCTTCATGGTAGCTGGGTCACTGAAACCACTGTCATGACATAGTTTTATGGCATCGTTGCGGCACTGTCTAAACAGATGAAAATCTAGTCTGTCTCATGGAGAAAGGAAAATAGAAATATCTTATATTAGTTATGTGCCAGATTTAAAACAAATTAACGAACAAACAAACTTTATTTTCAAAGGATTAAGAACTGGGCACGTAGAACATTCCGCCCTTCTATAGTCTCCCCCTCCTTTCTTACATCATTTCATTTATATATCAAATAATAGTAATCATTATCAATAGCATTGAAATATTCAATACAAGCACTTGAATGTGCACATTTCTAACTATAGTAAACCATAGTAATTGTAGTAATAAATAATAATAAATCTAGAGAAAACAGGCGCTATTTCTAAAATATATTTTAAAAAATCTTCTATGGGGGCATGTTATCTGTGCTCAGATTATTTTGAAACAGTTTCCGATTGTATGTATGTTGTATAAGCAACAACGCTGATTTTTAGCGATGAAGCCTGGTCTCGCAGTGTGTTTAAGGAGGCATGCACCTTATGGTTTGCTAGATCAAATCGTGTGTTTTGCTGACTGAGGACACTTTGTATGGCTACGGCATACACTTAAAGTATCCAGCGTATCTGACTCAGTTTGTGACTGGAATCACTGGCATAGGCGGCTAAGCAATTATGGGCCAAGCTCGTTTGCTGTGATGTCAGAACCGTAACGACTAACAACTCTTTCTCAAGCAGGCTTTCAACCCTCTTTTCACAAGCGAGTGATGATTCATATAAAGTTCTTAGCTATCAGTGTTTGTGATGATGACACCAGGAAACAAATTTCATTGCTTAAGAAATTAGGACTTCTCACCAAAATTTCTTAAACAGCATTAAAAGTCTATCGTTAAGCACCAGGGAGGAAATCAAAATTAAAATTCTGAGACCATGCATCTTCCCTCTAGCAACATACAGATGTGAGTCGTGAACTAACTTCTAGTCTTTAAGAAAGAAAATAGTTTTTTTTTCTAGCTTAAATGCTTAAGATTTTCAGAATACAAGTGACAAAGAAGAGAAGAAGTGCTGACATTTTGAAAGATCTGAACATCAAGGAAGATTGGCTAATAAACAGCATCTCGTCTCGGAAGCTGAAATATTTTGGTCATATTAAGAGCCATGGCGGATTTGAACAAAATAATAATAGAAGGCATGGTACTAGAAAGGAGGGCACAGAATATAAGTGACTCCTTGGATATGAAAGTACACGAGGCGGGAGATCTGGCGAGACACTTAGTGTCTTTCAGGCAGACCGTGATGACAACGATATTCTACAAAGGACCTGCTACGTGATAATGATGAACCAACATTATAAAGATAGTGATGTCAGGCTCTCTAGCGTAGTTGGCTAAACCGGATTGCGCAGTGACCGGGTGACGAACTCCTTATGGTCCGGGTTCACTCCCGGGGGTATGCAGAAAAGCTACATTTCTCCCAGATTTATGGTATTTACAATGGAATCAAGGCCGAAAGGTTGCGATATCCATAATACTGAGCCTAAGGGTTAACAACTCATGGCTTCTGGATACTAAAACAAACCAACAAACAAAGATAGTGATGCCTCTAACAAGAGATAAAGTCCACAGAATGTTATAATCTGTAATCAAATTTATGTTCTAAACTCAACTAACCTGAAATCTCGAGCAGCAAAGTACTGGATCACAAGAAGTTCATTTTCACATTCATCTGTCATGTCTTCATGGTCCAAGTTTTCCAGCAAACATGTTATTACACTGTTTTAAACAAATGTCTTGTGTTACAAACTTCAGGAAACCTGGTACACTCAAGATTCATAAACGCAAACACACTGGAAACTTCAAGAATAGGCTGGCTGAATCAATTAACTCTCTGAGTCCCAAGGAACACATCATACGTTCATGGCTTCCTACCTAGAATCCCAATGAACGCATGATGCACCGATTTTATGACTTTATTTACTACCCCCTGGGCCTATGATGCTAAACCCCCTGGGACTCAAAGAGTTAAGATACAGAAAGTAAGTAAGTAAAGGACCTTTGTTCACGCCTTCAGCATACTGGGCATAAAGGGCTAAACCTATACTTTATAGACCAAACTCGGTGGGTATTGTGGTCAACATCACGCTGGATGCTTTTACTTCCCAGGACTTTATTCGGTACCCATAAAAGGCTGGGGGTCATGCAGGGCGATAAGGTCATTTTTTAAAAAAAGTATGGCTCCATTCAGACTTGAACCCAGTGACCTAGTGTCTAGCCACTACACCACTGTGGCTCCTATAAATAAATTATACAATGCTTTTCTGTGATTGTTATTTGACCTATATTTTGTTAATACTCACTTCTGAAACCTGATGCACTATTACAATGGCTGGCTAGAAATGATGCCCACAGTTCACATACAGAAACAGCAGCATAGCAACAACAACAACAAATCCTTTTAAAAAAAGGAAATCATTAAAAAAAACAAAAAAAATGGTGCAATGTAACTGTATATTTATTATATGAACTGTGCTTTGTTAATAGAGATTTCTGAAACCTAATGTGCTATTAAAATGGTTGACTACAAATTATGTCTTTAGTTGAAATACAGAAACAGCAATGAAGGGAACTCACTCTCCTTGACCAGCATGGTATTCCGAGCACGCTTGGCTGACCACATCACCACAAGAACGCATGAGTGGGGTGTCAAGGCGGATGTCTTCTCCCGGGTTGACCACATGAACTAGCTTGGTCACCTGTAAGAACAGACTGCAAATTATTCATAAGGAGTCAAAACTGACACTTGAATATCAGGAACAACTCACTTTTGTGTTCGAACAAACTCCAACTCACGCTGTCGCACAAGATTTCTTTACCTTCCATTCATGAGGTAACTAATTAGCGGTGCTCCTTGGAAGTCAGAGTGCATCTGCCTGACAGGTCAGGAACTAGCAGTCTGCATTCAAATAAGCCAGATCCGTAAAACGGATGAGCCTGCAAAACTCAAGTTCTGGAACAAGACTAATGTCCAGAAGTGGACAAACAACCAGAACTTTTTGGACGACCAACCAGAACTTTTTGGACGAACAACCATAACTTTTTGGACGAACAACCATAACTTTTCACCAGAGTTGACAGCCGGTGAACGTAAAGAAGAAGATAAAGAAGAATGTGTTAGATATCACTGCCTAATTATTAACCATAACACAACATGCAAACTGCTCTTTTATGAGTGAAAAGAAACAAGACATTTGTCCTGGAGAGAATGATGCACTTGGGTGTAACCAGAGGGTCTTGCCGGCTCACTATTTTCAGAGAAAAGGCAAGATGGACATATAACAAGATTACAACTGCTATCGTTAGTGCTGGGGCTCTGCGCTGGCTGCTGAAGATGAAGACGGAGTGTGCATGGGAATGCCCCGAGTGCTGTGATGTTAATTCTTGACTCAGCTCGACTAAGGTTGAACACAGACGAAGTAGTAGTTTACATACAAACACAAACCTCAGCTTTGCACTCGGAGCCAAATCCATCCCCCTCTTCTGTATTTCTCAGCTGTACCATCTTCTCCATCAGACAGTGCAGAACATTGCCAGCCTTTTTCAGAGGGCAGAAGTGCTCGACCTCGCTCTCACAAGCACTGACCAGCTCAGGGCTCACGTTGTAATCTTCCATGAGAACAGAGCGCAGATCAAACATTTCCTGGAGACATTCGGGCTTTAAATTTTTCTCTGTGAGACAGAATAAATTAATTTAAACAGCAGATGTTTATCAGCAATTAAGTTTTACAGTTATCACAGTGTGGGTTCCGGGACTCCATTGGGAATGGGGAGGGGGAGGGGGGTGGGGAGGTTAGTTTCACTGCTTTCCTAAAAAGCTTGTAAAAAGAGTCAAATCCTAAAAAGCTTGTAAAAAGAGTCAAATCCTAAAAAGCTTGTAACAAGAGTCAAATCCTAAAAAGCTTGTAACAAGAGTCAAATCCTAAAAAGCTTGTAACAAGAGTCAAATCCTAAAAAGCTTGTAACAAGAGTCAAATCCTAAAAAGCTTGTAACAAGAGTCAAATCCTAAAAAGTTTTGTAACAAGAGTCAAATCCTAAAAAGCTTGTAACAAGAGTCAAATCCTAAAAAGCTTGTAACAAGAGTCAAATCCTAAAAAGCTTGTAACAAGAGTCAAATCCTAAAAAGCTTGTAACAAGAGTCAAATCCTAAAAAGCTTGTAACAAGAGTCAAATCCTAAAAAGATTGTAACAAGAGTCAAATCCTAAAAAGCTTGTAACAAGAGTCAAATCCTAAAAAGCTTGTAACAAGTCAAATCCTAAAAAGCTTGTAACAAGTCAAATCCTAAAAAGCTTGTAACAAGTCAAATCCTGAAAAGCTTGTAACAAGAGTCAAATCCTAAAAAGCTTGCAACAAGAGTCAAATCCTAAAAAGCTTGTAACAAGAGTCAAATCCTAAAAAGCTTGCAACAAGAGTCAAATCCTAAAAAGCTTGTAACAAGTCAAATCCTGAAAAGCTTGTAAAAAGAGTCAAATCCTAAAAAGCTTGCAACAAGAGTCAAATCCTAAAAAGCTTGTAACAAGAGTCAAATCCTACAAAGTTTGTAACAAGAGTCAAATCCTAAAAAGCTTGTAACAAGAGTCAAATCCTAAAAAGCTTGTAACAAGAGTCAAATCCTAAAAAGCTTGTAACAAGAGTTAAATAATTAGAGGTTTCATTCGAAGTTGGAGTGCATCTGCCTGATGGGCGAGGAACCAACAGATTGCATCTACATGGAAGCCAGATCTGTAAAACAGACAAGGAAAAAACTGTGTCCTGCCTCCGGGAACATAGGAAAGAACTTAGCAAGCTCTGCAAGAAGTCTCTCCTGACTATTCAGCAAGTAATGACAATCTACTGAACGTAAATTTGCCTAGAAACAAAACCACAATAGCCAAAACAAATGCTGGAGTTGGTTTTGCAATTTCTGGTGAAGGACATGCAAATAACCTTATCTAGTTTAAAACAAGCGTCTGCAAAATACAGATAGTTGTCATTTAAAAAAAAAACTTTTTGTCCTTTTCTGCCCTTTACCCCACAACTGAGCAATGCAAAAGACCGTTACTACCCCACAGGTGCACTGGATATATGATGACTGACCTAGAGTTTTATAGAGTAGTCTGCACTTACTGGATGATGAGGTCAGCAACATGGCGGATGTTGCAACTTTCATATGTGCCACATATGTACATACATAGGAAGTTTTCTTTAAAAACAAAAGGAATGTATTCTTTAAGTTAAAAAAAAATGTAAGACTTGCGATTAACTTGAATAACACTTTTCTTCTGGCATTCACACTTAAAAGGATACACTGCATTGCGGTTTACAGCTAGGCTGCAATATCCGTGACTTTCAGCCCAACTTATTTAAGTTCAGCCAAGTCTTAAATATTTGCCTTTTACAACACGCTTGTTAAGGAAAAAAGGGTCTATTCTTGTTTCCCCAAAACTCGGGCCCCTGAACCCACACAGGGAAAACTCTAATAGCACAAATCATTCTTTTTATTACATGTTGTAATTTGCATGTAAGTTGTCTGACATTCACAGCGCCAAGTTGGTATGAATACTTTTACAATTACCAAATAAATACATTTTCAGAATACTCAGACCCAATGTAGAAAAACCCAATCACACACAAGACCTTGACTAGTGTATATCAAGATCAGCATCTCACACATGGTGAGTTGATGGGGACAGTATGAGAAACAAAGCTTACTTTCGCCATGTGCTTCCTCTAGACAAAGCAAAATAATGGATCTGCTTAAATCTTCCTCTACGCTGCCTTCTCCTCTGTGTCCTGCGATAGTGCAGTCATTCTCATGAATATCCTCCTTACAGGCATCATAAAATGACTTGTCTATCCGTACATCTTCGGATATCAGCTGTTGCCTTTCTTCCAGCTTGAAACGGCACTGAAGTTTAAAAAACACAAGTTATCTGTATCATCTCGTAATACCAAAAAAACAATATATAAAACACTAATAAGATTAATTAATCTATATAGTTCTCTTCTTTTTCTTCACGTTCACCGGCTGTAAACTCCGATTGTTCGTCCAATTCCTGGACTGCAGTCCTGTTTCAGAACCTGAGTGTTGCGTGAGCATCCGTTTGACAGATCTGATTCATTAAGTGCAGACTGTTGGTTCCTTGCCTCTCAGGCAGATGCACTCCGACTTCGAACGAAGCTCCCAATTATTCAACTCTTATGACATGCTTTTGGGTAGGCAATGGGTCTATTCTTGTTCTCCCCATTATAGGGCCCCTAACCCATTCAGGGAATATAGTTCTGAAACCTGGAGTACAATTAAAAGTGATGAAGCCTTAATTACAAACTAGTGATAACAATCTTTTGATAAATCATTGGATACATCAAAGATGCAAGCAGCGGAGAATGGAGAATGAGAACCGGCGACGACATTAATAAGCTGTTGAATTCCTGGTATCATGAGGGCAAATAGACTTTACTAGCTTCCGGTTAAAATGGACGCTAGACAGCGGCGCTGTTTGGAGCAGAGGCAAATTTTTTGCTTTTGCCGGACGGTGGCCGAAGTATTTTTGCTCCATTTGTAGACTGGATATAGTTTCGTCGCCCAGCTTCTGAGTTGAATGCATGGCGTGACCCTGTGAGCTGCGGATTGCATTTGGAATGTCTTTTTTCGACTGTGACCAACGTGGTGTGAATTGTAGATTCAGAAAATGGCGCGATGCCTGTCCTGCAATGCTGGCGGGGCCTGTATTAAAATTGATCGCATGGGCAACTGCTGATCTGCTGGCGACAAGTTCTGCTATCATCAATGATGAACTGCATTTCTAATGTTGGACTGTTTGTGTTAGCACTTCGGATGGCTACCATATGCTTTAATGCGAGTGAATGTTAGATATGCTGAGACAGCAGTCTGTCAATTTTTCCACAAGGGACTGTGATAGACATTCTGAGTGTTTTTCGCTGGCACAGGAGCGGAGCAAAGATGGGGCGACCCGTTTGCTATGAAGCTGAAACTAAGACTACCAGACTACCAGACTTTACTAGTTGGGACTTACAGAGGGAATGGCAGACAAGAGAGACAAAAAACAAATGCACAAGAATTACATGGGAGTAGGCCATAAGGCAGACCAGGAAGGTGAGATAATACACAATCAAACTACAAACACTTGGAGTCACCTATTTGGAAAGAGAAACAAAAAAGAAGGGCAAACACAGAACGAACGAACGAACAAACAAACTTTATTTTCAAAGGGTTAAGAATTGGGCACACAGGCCCTTCTACTCCGCTCCTTTCATACAATTTTTCATTTGTACCTCATTTTATAGTTAATAATAATAATAATAACAATAATATTAATAATAATTATTATTATTATTATAAAAAGAGGAATACGAAATTAAAAATTTAAGAATTATAGAAAACAAAATGTAGAGAGTGATCTTCATAGTGCCTTGTCCTATATAAGACCAACAATAGCAGACATCATCAAGATAAAACAGTATCAGCCATCACACCTGTTCACAACATTACCAGTTGCTGGTGATTGTTTCTTTTGTTATTTGACACTTTGAATTATTTGCACGTTTTTCTCCAAGTCCTTGTTAACAGTGCTTGGGAGTTTTATTTTCTGTTCTCCTCTTTTTAATCACATTTTCTTATGTAGGGATAAGGGGTGGGTGTCTTGCACACACTAAACTAAAGGGGGGGGGACCTTAAAAGGTTAGAGACCACTGCTCTACTGATTGTTCTCATGATGTGCACTCGACATCCAAGTCCTGGAACAAGACTAAAGACCAGATAGGGACGAACGACCAGGACTCCCCACCAAAGTTCATAGCTAGTCAGTGCGGAAAAAGAAGATACCCTGAAACACCAGGGTGTATGAAAAAACACGACAAATTTGTAGGTCAAATGAAGAATTTAAAATGTATAATCAGAAATAAATAAATGAACTCACATTGTCAGACAATCTGGCATCACTAAGGTGCTTATACAAACACTTGAAAACTGCACCTTCTCCGGCAACCACATCATGACACAAATTTTCACGGTCAGCTTTACAGGCATAGTACAGTGGGCGGTCCAAGTGGAAATCATCCGACTGGAGTTCGGCCACTCTCAGGAGAGACTTCTTGCAGACCTTGCTAAGTTCTTTCCTGTGTTCCCGGAGACAGGACACGGTTTTTCCTTGTGAGTGTGGGCTCTGTAGAGTTTTAATGAGATACTTTAATTACTGATATTATTTTGAACAAATACACAAACAATTGCACAATTTACTGCCTGCCATGTGTCGCTTTAGCGTGTCAGAGGCATAGTACAGTAACAATTGTTTAAAACCATCAAGGCTCAGAGGAAAGGCAAGACAGTTGTTTAATCAGAATGCTACTGGCACCATTGGTATCGGAACTTTTCAGTGACTGCTGGAGATGGGAACGGAGCACTGATGGGAATACCCTGAGTGCTGTGATGTCGGTTCTTTAATCAACTCAACTTAACTCTGTTTAAAAACAAGCAAATAAATGCATCTTTTAAAACTGAAACACAAAATTGACTACACCTAAAACTGCCTGTTTCACCAGGATAAGCGCAAGTTCATGACCATGTCTTTTTGTCCACATAATTCATTTCAATTTAAAAGTGAATAAGACATCATCAATTATCAGTCCAGCCTCTAACTATTCAGCTGCCTTCTTCTTCTTCTTCTGTATTCTTCTTTAAATGGGTGGTTGGAATATTGTGCTGTGGGTGGAAGCATTAGGCCCAGAAACGGCGCAAATAACCCAGACCACAAATATAGGCGGAGACTGTTAGCAGCCTCGGCTAGCTAGCAGCAGTCTGAACATGGTCGACCTTTTAATTTTTTTCTCAAAAGGACTAGGACTAGGACAAATTGTGCTGTGGTTTACAGCTGGGCTGAGATATGTGCACCCTCTGCCCAAAACATCAGATTTCAGCAAAACCCTAATCTTCTACGACCTGCTTGTTAGGTGTCGGTGGGTCTGTCTGTTTTTCCAAACATGGGTCTCTGGAACCCACATGGGGAGTTCAGCTACCATGGCCCTAACATGTAAATAAGCTCATTAATATTCATTATTTATTCATCCCTGTGTCGGTTGCGAGGGGTCCCATTTGGAGGGGGGAGGAGTGCAATGGAGAATAGAAATACTGCCTTGATAACAGCAAATAAAAAAGATGACTAATTTAGGCGTTTTTACTTTGAAAGCAATGTGCATCTGCCTGAGCAGCTAGGAACCAATAAGCTGCATACAAGCAAACAAATTTGTAAAATGGATGTGCACACAAAATCCAAATTCTGGAACAAGACTGAAGACCAGAAGTGGATGAACTACAACTTTCTGCCAGAGTCTACTCCAGGTGAACGTTAGGAAAAAGTTTCTTTATTTGTGCAGTTACTTACATCATCTTCATCATTAAATGAATCAAGCCTTCCACACTTTAGTTTGGCGATGTCGTCATTGCAGTTCTTTATAAAGTAGCTCATGAAGCGATAGTCACTAAAGATGATGCCTGCCATTTTGGTGAGAAAGATACTGCAAGGTTTTGACTGAATACCTTCGTAGTGTTCAATAAGGCAAGGAATCACCTCTCCTTGATTCACGTTTTTGCAGTCTGTGAACTGTTTAAAAAAAAAAGAACACAAATTTAATTTGAAAAATTGACAGTACAAACAGGTTTGACAGAATTGCTGAGATCAAAACTTTCAGACTCAGAATGGGTCACTATTAACCCAGAGCATATTTTTACTGATATATCTGGGGACCGTCGCCGGAGCTAGGAAGTTTGTGCTCTCTGTGGCGTTCTCGGCAAGCGGCTAGCTATTCTGCAGAGAGACCAAGCCATTTGGGATTTAACCGGGTGCAATGAAGTAGATTCTTTCGACTTTAACCTTTAACCTATATCAAATGGGTCTTGCTAACTCTGCTGCATGTGGCTGTGGCTCACCACAGTAATCTTCAAGGACTGACAAGACTGCCAGTCAGATAGAAGAAATCTAGCCCACAGGAGCATCCCTACAAGATAAACTATGGAACATAGATGAAGATTTCAAGCACACTGTTGTGCTTATGACTCATATTGAAATAGACGCAAAGCAAACACTGATTGCCAAAGAAGAAGAATTTAGAAAAATATATTTTAGTAATCACAATAATGTTTCTATCATGGAGTTATGGAAAAACAAATGAGGCAGTCCTCCTTGAGATAAATGAAAGTCATAAACTGATCTGACAAATTAGATGTGGCCATTTAGTGTTTTTTAGACATTTTGTGAGAAGGAATGAAATCAAGAGCTCGGTAACGACCAGCAAGACTGAAGGAAAGAGAGCTAAAGAAAGTCTTAGCCTTAGTTGAGGTTTCAATTTCACCGCAATCAGGTCACCCCATACTTGCTCCGCTCCTGTGCCAGTGAAAATCAAATGAAATGTCCCTCGCTGTCCCATTTGAAAAACTGGTGAACAAACAATTAGTCCCAGAAAAATGTTCATGCAGTAAATGCATAAGGCAGTTGCCAGAGGCATCAAAAGTCAACAGCTGCCACCAGAAATGCAGTTTGTCGTTGATGGAAGTAGTCAGGCACGATAAGTTGGCCATACACACCTAGAATTATTACATAAGATATTTCACTTTACTACAAAAGATATTTCACTTCTCAACATGTAAACCGGCTACCGACTACATTTAATACCACAACTCAACAGCTGCACAAATGTAAGGCATTCCACACAAAAACACAGCTCACAGGGCTGCACCAAGCACTAAACTCAATAGCTCAGCCAGCGAAATCGTAGACTACCATCCATAAGTGGAAACTGCATTAGCAAAGCGCTGTTGAAAGTAAAATTAACTCCAAAGATTAATACTTCTTCCCCATGCCTAGTCCTTCATTTTAGACCGGCTTAGCTATATGAATGGAGTGAAGTACAGCTTATGCTACCAGTGCCAGAAGTGATCACTCACAACAAAACATAAAAGAAAATTAGTAACCAAGGAAATTAGGTGTCTGACTAAGGCTGTAGGAGTGACCAGAAATAAAGTCAGAAATGAGGGCATACAAGATAAAGTCGGTTCAAAACCAATTCTAAAGTACAAAGACAAAGCAAATCAAATGGTTTACCCACTAGGAGAGAACGCCTTCTGATGCTATACCATACAAGACATATACCAAAAGAGGAGAGGGATGTAAAGCAAGAGGTGGACCAAGAACAACATGGAAAGATAACATCAGAGAAACTACAGCACCACAATGTGTCTATGGTCAAAGCAGCCAGAAGAGGATGAAGCAGGACCTTGAATCACCCCTGACACCTGTAGTGGTAAAAGAGTACGAAAAGAAGAAGAAGTAAGAACTCTGACCTGACCTATGATCCTGATAGCGAAATATGACATCTTACTCTTAAAGCATAGCAGATGACGGTGACAGTGATTGTTTCCCCACAAAAAAGAATCACAAAACAGGCACTACAACTAGAAACAAATGGATTTAGGAAGTGAGGACACATAAGAGAACTCTACAACAAATGTTGATGAAAGAGTGCCATACTAGGATTCTACATACAGAAGTAAAAGGACTGAACAGGACTGAATCAAACGGTGGAAGAGACGGTGTTCCCTGTGTGTTAAACACAGCTCAACATGACGATGATTACTTCCCCTTTGGTTAAGTTGTCTAGGCTTGTGAACTGTAAAACATAATATAAATTCAACACCTCTCTCCCCACGAAAACCAAACAAAAACAACTGTCAATTACTACCTTATTATACCACTTTTGCGGTGCAGGCAGAGAGGTCTTTGAGCCTGCGGCGGATTTACGGTAGCATTTGCGCCCCCCCCCCCCCCCCCCACTCCACTTCCCAAAAAAATCCTCTCTAATTATAAGCAACATAGTCTCATCATCATAAACCACTCCCACTATTAAGTGCCATGGGGAGGAAACATTTGCAACCCACTGCACGCTGGTTGGCACTGGCTAGTGTCATGTCCTGAAGGCGTAAAGTGTCTTTAATATTGTTGATCTGTTTTTTCATCGCCGTCCTTTAGATCTTGTAGCTGATCTTCTGAGATGTAGTGCATGTGATGGTATCTGATGTTGCTGCTTTCTAATAAGATGGCTGAACCACTTGATCAGCACTTTCTCAATGAATCTAGTACAAGGTGTCGCTCCAACTATCTGTCAGCATCATTATTTACTCCATCTCAGATGTTTAGCCTGGCAGCTATTCTCAGGCATTTCACCTCGCAGATTTTGCGTACACGGACTTTAGATAGTGTCCATGTCTGGCAAGGGTAGCTTAATGCTGGAATGAATATGCTGTTTATAATATATTCTTTGCATTTAAGGGGTTTCTTTCCCCTAAATGAATGACTAAACAGGTACTGAGAAGGGAAAAAGAAACAAGAATTAAACGGACTTCACCCCCATGGGCCTAAGATATGTATTAGGAAACCCATAACTGACCCCTTCATTCCGTAGCTATGTGACTACTAAGTAAATTTTGACATCACAGCTGCCTCTAAAAAGCCATTTCTTCACAAATCTTCACTTCACTCCCCTCCCCCCTTGCTATTTTTAGTAAATATATTCATATCAGGGGCCCTTCTAAACACTGTGCAAGTGCAAACAGAACCATTGCTATTTAATTAGGCTTCTCAGTGCCAATTGTAATGCATTTATAGAACTTGTAATGGACAATTATGCTGGATTAATGGCATTACTGGGCAAAACGTTACAGCCACTGGAAATGCTTACTCATCAACTGCAGCAAGATGCAGGCAATTGAAAATTGTATCTGATAAGAATTACTTACCTTCTCTAATTCTGGAGCACAAGCTTCACTTGATGCATCCTCAAATCTGGGATCTCTTGTCAGATTCAACTTATACATCCATAGAAACTATGAACAGATTGTGTAAAGAAGGAATTATAGATGAAAAATCGATTGTGTAAAGAAAGAAGTACATAGATTGTGGAAAAAAAAAATTTTTAGAGTACACCCATCTTATCTCTTTTAATTTCTGGCAGCATTACTTTAGCTTGTTAAATACTGAAGTTACAATTCTGCAAGCATCGGGGATCGCTGCTCAGGTGCTGAAAGCATGCTTTGTTATTATGGAATGTAAAATGTTCAATAATGGACTGTAACATGCATTTTTTTTAGGTTGTTGCGTATCCTCTAGAGGACGTTGCAGAACCAACCCTAACAGCCCCTGGCTGTTGTGTGGTTTCTCTAGGCAAATTTACGTCTAGTAGTTTGCCATTGCTTTCTGGACGGTCGGCTTTCTTGATACCACTGTCGAAACCAACGCAAGGCGCATTGCCCGCAGCTGGGATCGAACCTGGCATCCTGGCATTACGAAGCGAAGTGTTCGCATCGACTTAGCCACAGAGACATGAATATGCGTGCAAACCTTCAGTTCTAGAACAAGATGAAAGTTCAGAAGTGGACAAACAACCAGAACTTTCTGCCATAATGTACAACAGGTAAACACTAAGACAAAATGAGTCGCAGTAAACAATGAGAGAGAATGGGTTAATGTAAGAACTGGATGAGGAATAAAGAGTTAAGACAAGCATATCTTGCAAACAGCAACCAGTAAATGCAGTTTTCTTTTTTGTGTGTTCACGGGCTGTAAACCTCGGTGGAAAGTTTTGGTTGTTTGTCAACCTCCGGACTTTAGTGTTGTCCTAGACTGTTCCAGAACTTGAAGGTTGAGTGCATATCCATTTTACAGATCTGAAATATCTGTATGCAGACTTTAGGTTCCTTGCCTCTTAAGCCGATGCACTCCGCCATCAAAGAAGGCCCTCATTTAGCCTACTCTTATCTGAAATATCTGTATGCAGACTTCTGGTTCCTTGCCTCTTAGGCTGATCCACTCCGCCATCCAGGGAGGCCCTCAAATAGTCTACTCTTACTACATGTTCTTTTAGTGGGAGATAGTGGGTCTATTCTCGTTTTCCCCACAATAGGGCACCGGAAGCTAGATAGGGGACAATATACAGTAATCTGCATGGTTCTGAAAAGAAAGAAATATGTTGTCAGACACATAAAACACTTTGACTTTCGAATTAGGGGCTTCAGCGTCAGAAGACCAAACGGTGGTATTGACATTTTGAAATTCCGCAAGTGCAGCCAGTTGAAACAGATCATACAGCTAAAAAATCTGTAAAACTTACAAATATTATACATCAAAGCAACCAGGGAATGTTGACAGATAATTAACTGAAAAGTGACAAATCATAATGCACTGATCGGGACTCCAGGACAGGTATAGATCATTTTGTGACCCAAAGAAAAGACCAGTGTACAGCCCCAGCAAAAAAAATGTAACTTGTTGAAAACATCCATCTTTACTATAGCAACATATGGGAGTTACACAGTAGGCTATTTCACAACAACTAAAGTAGAAAACATGTGCTTCTGATCTTACATTTTACAGAAAAAAGTCTTAGAATACCATTTATCAAAAATGAAAAAGACATGCTTTGCCGTTCTCATAAACACGATTTTTATCTCTGCTGGTTTACAAAATTCATGAATTGTGTTGAGATCATCTGTGTGAGGATCGGTAACCACCTATGGAGTGAACTATGTCTAACTGAAGGTTTTTGAGGTTTTAAACAATGGATCAACATCGTGGCACAGGGGTGTAACCCATAAGTGCTCCGTTCTTCTTCTAACTCAAGTCTCCGTTCTTCTTCTAACTTAAGTCTGAGTCGGAAGAAGCTCGGCGCAGTGCACAGGCTCTGTAGCACCAGCGAGGATCCTGAAATTATGTCTAACGAAAGAGGTGGTGTCTTATGCGATTAATGGTGTGTGTAACTACTGATCTGTTACAAAGCTACTTCCATCGACAAAACTGCATTTCTGACGCCTTGCTGTTTGTGCTGGCACTTCTGACAGCTCATTATGCATTTGATGTGTGTGTACTGTACACACATGCTGTGATTTTAACTGACTCACAGAGCATGTTGAAAAAGGTGTAGACTGTCATGCTCTGTGCAGAGTAGCAAGCATCACTTGAAAGGTCCCGGGTAGTTAGCATCCTTTGGATATTTTCTCCAGGTCATGCTGGTGTGTTAGGAAATGAGCAGACAGATAGACTGGCCGGTTCTGCACCACTTGGTGGTGAACTGACGTATGATAGGCTGGATGTTGTGAGGGCTCTAGGAGCCAGAGAACAGTGCCGAGGAACAGACAGATCATTATGGTCTGAGGAGAATGGCACTGCGAGGAGTTACAAGGCTGACACTCGACACTCAGGGGAAAAAGCAAGACAGATATACAATCAGACAGTTACTGGTACCATCAGAAGATTGCTGCTGAAGATGGGGTGTCCCGAGTGCTGTGATGTTGATTCTCAATTCAACATTCATGTGTGTTTGCTACTGGCTCTGCTGGGACAGCAGCCTGTATCAATTTTCACACAAGGGACAGTGACAGACATTCTGTGTGGTTTTTGTAGGCACAGGAACGGAGCCACTGAGGGGTGACATCTGCAATGAGGCTGGAACTGTGACTTCCTGATTTCACAAAAAAGTCACAACTTGTGGCACAACAAACCAATTAAACTATTGAAGCTGGCACAAATAAAACCAAATCACAACTACATCTGTTCTCAGTAGGATTTAACATGGTAAAATTTTCTGGAGTTTTCCCCCTCCACATCAACAATAACAACAAACCACATCAACCAGGAAAGAAGTACTTATACCCTAGTAATCATACTCACATGATGGCAACTGTCTGACAGCTTGCTGGCCGTCTGAAAAAGCAAAAGGTAAGAAGGCTGGTCTACTTATAAGAAATTACACATTATCAGATGGTGGGCTATCAGTAAGTAGGTTTGTATTGCGATATTTGCGCCTATCAACTGACTCATATATCCTCTGCAGGCATTTGTTGCCTGGGTTAACCTTCCCAGGTATACTCAAGAGTACAGTGTGGTATAGTTTAATATATATTAACAGTTCACTTTACATGAACCATCATCATCATGTGGCAGGTCTGCCTGAAAAAAACTCGGTCTCTCGCCAGTTCTCCCGCCTCACGTACTTTCATACTCAAGGAGTCACTTATATCCTGTGCCCACCTTCGTGTTGGTCGGCCCCTGCCCCTCCTTCCTGGTACCATGCCTTCTGCTATTATTTTTTCCAATCCACTGTGACGCTTGATATGACCAAAATATTTCAGCTTCCGAGACAGGATGCTGTTTATTAGCCAATCTTCCTTGATGCTCAGTTCTTTCAAGATGTCAATATTTCTCCTCTTCTTTGTCCAAGATATTCTAAGAATCTTTCTATAGCATTTCAGCTCAAAAGCCCCTATTCTCTTTTTTAAGGACTGGGAGATAGTCCACGACTTTCATCCATATGTAGCCACAGGGAAGATGCATGCTCTCAAAATTCTTATTTTGATCTCCTTGCTGGTGTATAACCATAGACTTTTTAGGCTAATGTTTGCATTGCTATGGCCATCCTCCTTTTAGTTTCTGTCAAACAGTCTCCATTGCTATTTATTATAGAGCCTAGATATTCAAAGTTTGTGACATTTTCAATTTCTTCATCATTTATTGTTATTTTTGGGTGACAGTTTTATCTGTGGACATTATTTTCGTTTTTGTTAAATTCAAGAACAGATTTTGATCACTGTGCTACTGGACAGACAATATTAAATTTGTTATTCCCTTTACCCTGTTCGAAAGGAGGACTGTGTCATCTGCGTAGCAAAGTAAAGGAATAGGGTTGCCACCAAGTTTAAGCGAATCATAACTGTCACAAGTCTGGTCATTTTTGACATTTCTCATTATATTTTCTGTGTATATATTGAATAGATATGATGAGAGAATACACCCTGCCTAACTTTCTTTTGCACCTCAAACCAATCCAATGTTTCACCAGCTGCTCTGATGGCTGCTTGTTGTTCATGATAAAGATTATCAATTAAATGCACTAAATGCGATGGAAACCCCATACTTCTCATAATAGTCCGCAGTTTCAGATGTTGGACACAATCAAATGCCTTGCTATAATCAATGAAACAAGCATGAAGATTTACGTATTCTCTGCATTTTTCAAAAATTATTCTCATATTAAAGATGTGATTCCTAGTTCCTCTACCCTGTCTGAAAATTGCTTGTGCTTCATGTAGTTCACATTGTAATTTCCTTTCAATCCTCTTCATGATAATTAGTAAAATGATTTTGCTAGCATGACTTGTTAATGTGATGGTACGGTAGTTGCAGCAAAGTTTCAGATTTAATTTCTTTGGGAGAGGGATGTAGATTGTTCTTTTCCATGGTTTAGGCTAAATGCCACAGTGCATGATAGATTTGGACGCTGGCCTCTCCTCCTGCTTGAATTAGTCTGCTGGTATTTTGTCGCAACCTGGTGACTTTCCTTTCTTTAGGTTGTGTATTGCTGATCGTACCTCATCCAGTAAAGGCTCTGGTTCTTTTTCATAACTTTCATAAGTTGTTTTTGAATTACTTGTTAGATCCTCATACATTTCTCTACAGTATACTTTCCATCTTTCTAATGTCTTTGGTTTCTGTTAATGTGTTTCAGTTATTATCACTTATTACATGAAAAGAAGGCCTGAATTCGCCTTTCAATGTGATAATTTCTTTAAACATGTCTCCGTCTCTTCCTTGCATCTGGAGTTGTCCAGTTCTTTGACAGGTATCTTTAATAAACTGTATTTTATCACCTCTGATAGCTCTTCTGATTTCTTTTGCGTAGTTCCTATATGCATGGTTATTTGTTTCTGTCCCTGCTTGATTTAAATTTCTTCTTTCTTCTACCAGCCTGAGTTTTTTTTTTCTCTGTAAAGTAAATCTGTTTTTTTTGTTGTTGTTTTTTTAAGAATCATGTTCTGAGCTGTTGTGACGATGATGTTTCTTGCTTCATCGACCAACTCATCAGGTGTCATATCCTCCTGCATTGCCATGAGTGCCTTAAATTTGTTTTTAATTTCAATGCTGTAATCATTTGGTTAATTACTTAAATCAAAACCTATTGGCTTTGCCCCTTTTAACACATTTTTCAGTTTTACATGGACCAGTATAATTTAATATATATTAACCATTCACTCTATTCATATCATCAGATGGAATATGTGTGACAAAGATTTAAAGCAAAATAAGTCAAGCGAAAGCTGCATTTCAGAAAA